TAACAGGCAAGAAGGGAGTGGCATGATATATTTAATGTGCTGTATCGGAAAAATATGCAGCCAAGAATACTCTATCTAATAGCAAGGCTATTCTTCAGAATAGAAAGAGAGATAAAGAGTTTCCCAGACAGAGAAAAACTAAAAGTCTATGAACCAAGATATCAAGATATAGGGTGCCAGAATGGATAAAAAAAACAAGACCCATCTATAGGTTGCCTATAATAATAATATAATATAATAATATATAATAATATAATATCATATAATAATAAAAGGGTCTCTCCAATAAGAAAAATCTAACAATTGTAAATATTTATGCCCGCAACTTGAAAGCACCCAAATATATAAAACAATAAGAAACATAAAAGAACTCATTGACAATAAAACAACAATAGTAGTATTGTCCACTTACATCAATGGACAGATCATCTAAGCAGAAAGTCAACAAGGAAACAATGGCTTTGAATGGCATACTGGAACAGATGGATTTAACAGATATATTCAGAACATTTCATCCTAAAGCAGCAGAATACACATTTTTTTTTTGAGTACACATGGGACATTCTCCAGAACAAATCACATACCAGGTCACAACTTGGGCCTCAACAAGAACAAAAAGATTGAGATCCTGCCATGCATATTTTCTGATGGCAACAACAGTATGAAACTTGAAGTCAACCACAAGTCCAGAAATACATGGAGATTAAAGAACATCCTATTAAAAAGAATGAATGGATCAATGAGGAAATTAAGGAAGAAATAAAAAAACACATGGAAACAAATGAAAATGAAAACACAACAGTCCAAAACCTTTGTGATGCAGCAAAAGCAATCATAAGAGGGAAATATATAGCAATACAGGCCTACGTGAAGAAGCAATAAAAGTCTTGGGGTGCCTGGGTGACTCAGTCAGTTAAGCATCCAACTCATGGTTTTGCCTCAGGTCATGATCTCACAGTTCATGAGTTCAAATCCCACATTGGGCTCTACGATGACAATGCAGAGCCTGCTTCCGATTCTATCTCTTCCTCTCTCTCTCTGCAACTCCCCTACTCTCTCTCTCTCTTAAAAATAAATTTTAAAAAAGAAAAATCTTATATAACCTATTAGCTTCACCTAATGGAGCTAGAAGAAGAACAACAAATGAATCCTAAAGCCAGCAGCAAGAGGGAAATAATAAAAATTAAAGCAGAAATAAATGATATGGAAACAACTACAGCAACAACAAAAACCACCGTAGAACAGATCAATGAAACCAGGAGCTGGTTCTTTGAAAAAAATTAATAAAATTGATAAACCCCTAGCAGACTTCTCAAAAGAAAAGAGAAAAAGACCCCAGTAAATAAAATCATGAATGAGAAAAGAGAGATCAAAGTCACCCTTCATAAATACAAACACTTATAAAGAGAATATTATAACAAATTATATGCCAACAAATTGGGCAATCTGGAAGAAATGGTTAAATTCCTAGAAATATATAAAGTACCAAAACTGGAACAGGAAGAAATAGGAAACTTGAACAGACAGATAATGAGAAAAGAAATGGAATCAGTGATCAAAAATATCCCAATAAACAAAAGTCTAGGGCCTGAAGGCTTCACAGAGGAATTCTACCAAACATTTAAAGAAGAGTTAATAACTATTCTTGTCCAAATGTTACAAAAAACAGAAGTAGAAGGGAAACTTCCAAATTCTTCTACAGGGCCAGCATTACCTTGATTCCAAAACCAAAGACCCTACCAGAAAAGAGAATTACAGGCTAATATTCCTAATGAACATGGATGCAAAACTTCTCAACAAAATACTATCAAATCGATTCCAATGCTACATTAAAAGAATTACTCACCACAATAAAGTGGGATTCATTCCTGGGACTTAAAGTGGTTCAATATTTGCAACTCAAACAACGTGTACACAACATTAATAAAAGAAAGGATAAGAACGATATGGTCCTCTTAACAGATGCAGAAAAAGCATTTGACAAAGTACAGCATCAATTCATAATAAAAATCCTCAACAAAGTAAGTATAGAGGAAACACACCTTAACATCATAAAAGCCATATACAAAAGACCCAGAGCTAATATCATCTTCAATGAGAAAAAACTGAGAGCTTTTCCCCTATGGTCAGGAATAAGTCAGGGATGTCCACTCTCACTACTGTTATTTAACATAGTAGTGGAAGTCCTAGCCTCAGCAATCAGTCAACAAAAAGAAATAAAAGGCATCCATAGTGCCATGGAAGAAGTCAAACTTTCACTATTTGCAGACTACATAATACTCTATGTAGAAAGCCCAAAAGACTCCACCAAAAAATTGCTAGAACTGACACACGAATTCAGTAAAGTCACAGGATACAAAATCAACCTACAGGAATTTGTTGCATTTCCATATACCAATAATGAAGCAGCAACAAGAGGAATCAAGGAATTGATCCCATTTACAATTACACCAAAAAAAAAAAAAAAAGGTAGATAGATAGGAATAAGTCTCAACAAAGAGGTAAAAGATCTGGACTCTGAAAACTATAGAACACTTCTGAAGGAAATTGAAGAGGACACAAAGAAATGGAAAAGCATTCCATGCTCATGGACTGAAAGAACAAATTGAAATGTCTATAATACCCAAAGCAATCTACACATTTAATGCAATTCCTATCAAAGTACCACCAGCATTTTTCACAGATCTAGAATAAACTATCCTAAAATTGGTATGGAACCACAAAAGACCTTGTATAACCAAAACAACCTTGAAAAAGAAAAGCAAAGCTGAAGGCATCACAATCCCAGACTTCAAGTTATATTACAAATTTATAGTTTTCAAGATACTATGGTACTGGCACAAAAGGATACACATATCAATGGAACAGGATAGAAAACCCAGAAATTGACCCACAACTATATGGTCAACTAACATTCAACAAAGCAGGAAAGAATATCCAATGGAAAAAAAGACAATCTCTTCAATAAGTAGTGTAGGAAAAACTGGATAGCAACATGCAAAAGATTGAAACTGTAGCACTTTCTTACACCACACACAAAAATAAATTCAAAATGGATGAAAGATCTAAATGTGAGACAGGAAATCATCAAAATCCTAGAGAGCACAGGCAGCAATCTCTTTGACTTCAGCTGTAGCAATTTCTTACCAGACATGTCTCCAGAGGCAAGAGAAACAAAAGCAAATATGAATTACTGGGACTTCATCAAGATAAAAAGCTTTTTGCACAGCAAAAGAAACAATCAACAAAACTAAAAGGCAACCTTTGGAATGGGAGAAAATATTTACAAATGACATATTGGGAAAAGGGTGAGTATCCAAAGCTAATTAAATGCAACACCCCCAAAATAAATAATCTAGTTAAGAAATGGGCAAAAGACACAGACAGCCATTTTTCCAAAGAAGGCTAACAGACACAGAAAAAGATGCTCAACATCATTCATTATCACGGAAATACAAATCAAGACAAATGAGATATCACCTCATACCTGTGAGAACAGCTTAAATTAACAACACAGAAAACAACAGATGTTGGCAAGGACAGAGTGAAAGGGGAACCCCCTTGCACTGTTGGTGATAATACAAACTTATGCAGCAACTCTGGAAAACAGCATGGAGGTTCCTCAGAAAGTTAAAAATAGAATTACCCTATGATCCAGCAATTGCACTATCAGGTATTTACTCAAAGGATATATAAATACTGATTCAAAGAGAGACATGCACTCTGATATTTATAGCATCATTATGAACAATAGCCAAATTACGGAAAGATCCCAAATGCCTAGTGACTGATGAATGGATAAAGAAGATGTGGTCTATGTATATTTGATGGAATATTACTCAGCTGTAAAAAATGAAATGTTGACATTTGCTATGATATGGGGAGGATCTAGAGTATATTATGTTAAGCAAAATACGTCAGGTCAGAGAAAGACAAATACCATATGGTTTCACTCATCTGTGGAATTTAAGAAACGAAACAGATAAACATATGGGGAAAGAGAGAGGCAAACCAGAAAACAGACTCTTAATTGTAGAGGACAAATGGAGAGTTTCTGAAGAGGTGGTGAATGGGAGATGGTCTAAATGCATGATGGGCATGAAGGAGGGCACTTGTGTTGAGTACTGGGTTATGTGCAAGTGATGAATCACTAAGTTCTAGTTCTGAAACTAATACTACAGTATATGTTAGCCAACGAATTTAAATAAAAACTTGAAACTAAAAAATATATATAAATAATATAAAGCCTTAGTGGTCATTGTATGGCTTTGGCTTTGGTTATGAGACGGGGAAGTCTCTGGAAGGTTTGGAGAGAAGGTGTTTACATTTCACCAGGGTCCAGTTGGTTGCTGAGTTGCTCAAGCAGCAAAGAGGTGGAGGTAAAGGTGGGAACAGGAGAGCATTTAGCAGGTGATTTCAGTATTCCAGGCCGAGTTCACAGCATGGGGCGGGCTCAGACCAGTCTGGTACAAGTATGAGGAGTGGTTGGGTTTTGTATATATTTGCAAATAGAGTCAACAGGAATGAACAGATTGGTGTGAGAAAAAGAATAATCAGAGTTGACTCCACCTTCATGGCCTGCGCAACTGTTGAAGCGAGGGGGAAAAATAGTGGGGGAGAAGGAGGGAGGCAAACCATGAGGGACTCTTGAATGCTGAGGCCAAACTGAGGGCTGAGGGGGTGGGGAGGGGGGCAGGGGGGTGATGGGCATGGGGGAGGGCACTTGTTGGGATGAGCACTGGGTGTTCTATGGAAACCAACTTGACAGTAAACTAAGGAAGGAAAAAAGGAAAAGAAACAGAGTGGCTGGAATGGGGAAGGGTCCAGCGTGGAGTGAGGCGGGGACTGGGGGTGGCTATCAGCCTGCAGCCTGTTAGTGAGTAACCCCGCCTCCCAGTCACCCGGAAGCGGCCGGAGAAACTCCCGATCCCGGCGCGCCCTGCGCGCCCGCCCGCGCGCCCGAGGGGGCGGGGCCTGCGCGCGCGTGCGCTGTTGCGGAACGGGCTGGCGGGTCCGGTAAGGCGGTCCCTTCGAGCGTGGTAGTTTGTTCCGTGAAGGGAGCGAGGACGGTTAGGCGCTCTCGGCCACCTTTCCGGCCCCGGTAAGCGCGGCGGTGGCGGCGGCGACGGTGGCGGTTGGCGCCGCGGGGTGGGGACGGCCTCCAGAGGAGGGTGCCGGCACGCCTGGCGGCCCCGTCCGGAACGTGAGGGCTCGCGGGCCGTCGCCCCTCGGGGGCTGTCGGTCGCCTCCGTGAGGCGTTGGGTGCAAGTCGGGTGCCCGCGGGCCCGCCCGCCGGAGCGTCGCCCTCCTGGCCGCTGGGGAGGCCGGAGTCCGGGGACGGCTCGTGCGGGGAGAGCCGACGCGGCCGGAGCGGGGCGGGGGTCGCGCCGGGCCCTGGGGGGCGGCCACCGCGCACCCCGCACCCCGCGCGCCAGCTGGGTGCACGAGACGGGTCTCTCAGGTGCGGGGGGACCCCAGAGCCCCGGGGGGAGCGTCGCCCCGGGCCCGCGCGCCGTCGGCCGTGCCCCCACCCGGCCAGGTCAGGGACCCCCGGAAAGACGGGAACTCCTCCCGCGCGCGGCCGTGGTCAGCCTGGCCGGTGCGCTAGCGGGTTCCCGCCTGCAAGTTGGGGTGGTCGCGATCCCTTCTTGCGCCCTGAGTGTTAGCGGTCGTCGGACGAGCCCTTCTGGAATGCTCGCGAGGCCCCGAGACCACAGATGCCTCCTCCGGGCAGCCCTGTGGCGCTCCTTTGACAACGGAAGACCCCGAGGCAGGGATGCAGAACCCGAGGTCGGAACGCAGGCTGTGGAGACCGGGCTGCGGCGGGATCGAATCCCGGAGCGGGTTCGTGGTTACGCGGAGCAGCCCGTGGGGAAGACGTGCACGCGCGGTGAAGAGTGGGCTGTTCGTCGGGGAACCTGGAAGGCCCTAGATTTTTCCTGTTTCGGGATAATCCAGCCTGTTTCGGGATAGTAGCGCATACTAGGCCAAGATAGTGGATTGAGTACGTGTATCTCCCTTTATTCCCCGCTGGAATCTCACTAAAGTTACGGGAAAGGGGTTTTTCAGAAGACCTACGCTCAAATGGTGGAGAGCCCGGGACCGGAAACAGTAGCAGTCGGAGCGAGGGGTTCTGGAACGTGTTCTTCGCAAACCTGAGCGTGATTCTAAACCTGCAGCGGGGAACGTCGGGGAACAGCTCGCAGGACACACAGAAACGGGCGGCGCGGGGCGCCTTGGGACCCGCCAGTGAAGGGGGCGCGTTGGGGGCCGTGGGTGAAACGTGTTGGGGAGGGAATTGGATGTCCACGTCTCCTTCTGTGCTGGCGTCTGGGGTGGTTCCTTCTCCCGCTGGAAGGTGGGGGCTGCTCCCCCGAGAACATAGAGCGGAGCTTTGAACCCCCGGACCTCAGGCGCAGTTAGTTATGGGGCCACGTTTGTGAAAGCAGGGGCGCTGAAGGCGAAGTCCTCTCTTCTCCTTCGCCCACTGAAGCCCCAGAAGTTTTGGAGCCAGACTGACCCCCCTCAGGCTCAAGTAAGAGAATTTTTCTGCGCACATACACACGGGTGTGGAAAGATAGTTGGTCACAGTCGGGGCACCTGCCAGGCTCAGTGAGTTAAGTGTGGGACTCGATTTCGCCTCAGGTCGTGACCTCAGGGTCAGGGGATGGTGGAGCCCTGCATCAGGCTGTATGCTCAGCGTGGAGCCTGCTTGCGATTCTCTCCTCCTCTCTCTGCTCCCTGCCCCCACCCCCTGCAACTAAAGAAACCTTAAAAATAATAAGTTGCTCATAGTGGTTACTTCTGGGAAAGGGCACGCGATGGCTGGGGAAAAAGAATGTGAGGAGAGTTAACTATTTACATTTTTGTTCTTTAAAAATTTTGTGCCGTCTGCGTATATTACCTATTCAGAAGTGTATTCCTTAAAAAATATAACCGCAAATGAATATACCCTTTGATACAGCAGTTCCTCTCCCACAAAGTTATTATAAAAATTGGTCTACACACAGGAGAATATAAGGTGCGAGCCATTCATTGCAATCTTTTAGCAAAAGATTGGAAACAGTCTAATTGATGGTTGGTGAAATACATATACATATATATTTTTAGTACTTTTTGATCTTTGAACTCTTAGTATCTATTCCAGGAATGAATGAAAAATGTTAACAGGAAAAAATAGTTGAATAGTGGAGATCTTGATGTTGGTAATACCTTGAATAATAAGAGTTCTCTTCCATAGGAAGGAATGCTGTGTAACAATCCCCAGATCTCAGTGGCTTAACGTTTCATGCTCTTGGGTTCTTCAGGCCAACATTTCTTGGCTTTTCAGTGGCTTAGATCTTGGCTGGGCTAGGCTGGACTACAGACTTTAGATTTGGGTTCATATCTGCAACATGTATCTTTGTTCTGGGACCCAGGCTGAAAAAGCAAAAATAGCTGGAACATGCTTTTCTGATGACTGAAGGTGGGAGTTCAAGGGGGCTTCTGGAAACTTGCCACGTCTTGGCTCAGAAGTGAGAGGAAAGGGCAATTTACAACTTTTACATAAATTTCATTAGTTAATGTAGTGTCACATAGTCAAGCCCCAAATCAGTAGGGTGAAGATGTATGTACACTACATACTGGGGCGCTCTGCAAAGTCACCTGACAAAGGGTGTGGATATACACTTCTCTTACAGAGTAGGAAGAAGAATTGGGAATGCTGATGAGGAAATATTTCAGTAGAAAGATACTTTGAAATTAAGTTAAAGGTAGTTGGTTGAGAATAAAGATGCTTGGGAAAAAAATACATATATGCCAAGATACAACATTCTACTTTGATATGAACTCTACCTTGATATGAAATCTTAAGGGGCACCTGGGTGGCTTAGTCGGTTAAGCATCCGACTTTCGCTTAGGTCATGATCTCGAGGTTTGTGGGTTCGAGCCCCGCGTCGGGCTCTGTGCTGACTGCCAGCTCAGAGCCTGGAGCCTGTTTCAGAGTCTGTATCTCCCCCTCTCTCTGACCCTCCCCTGTTCACGCTGTCTCTCTCTATCCTAGAAATAAATAAAAATATTAAAAAAAAAAAAAGAAATCTTAAGAGATACATATCAAGGTATCATATTGGCTTTTCTTATATAACATCTGCCATCCCCACACCTGGCCCTGTAACCAATTCTGTGTGTCCATGGTTTTAGGAATCTTGAAAGTAATTAATTAAGCAATGCATATGTAGAGGCACCAGTTCTTAGAGAAATGGTTCTATATGTGTTTATTTCAGCTACTAAATGTGTTCAGTCATAGTTCTTATGTCATATCCATGTCTGCCAACCCACCTTTCACAACAGAATCTTCTTTTCAGGGAGATGTCCTTTGCTTCTCAGACGTAATGCACTCTAAGTTTGTTATTCAGCAGTGAAAATGAGTCATACAGAGGTAATACATGTTTTCATATATTCTGCATCTTCAGGGTTCTTTTTTTTTTTTTTTTAAGTCCTGTGGCTCCAGAGTAATTTTCTTATTTTCAGCTTGTACTGTGGTAGACAGTATAGCGTTAGTGATTAAGAGTAAGGTGTTTTGGAGCAAACTACCTGAGTTTGAATCCTAGCTAGTGGCTATATAACCTGGGCACATTACTTAACCTGCTGTGCCTCAGTTTTCATATCTATAAAATGGAGGTGATAATAGTGCTTGTTTTCTAGAATTATTAGGAAGGTTAAATAAGTTAGTACATACTTGACACATAACCAAGCACTTAAATATTAGCTATTGTTAATAGTGCTTTTTATTTAGAGGCCATGTGAATCATGGGTCTCACAAAACAAACATAGTTATTCAGTTGTCTGAATAGGCAAGGAAGTAATTTTTGATCCCTTTATTCTCTTGAATTCCAGGTTAAATTAAAAATACCTTTTGGAAATAAATTACTAGATGCTGTTTGTTTGGTACCTAACAAGAGCTTAACATATGGAATAATTCTTACACATGGAGCGTCAGGAGATATGAATCTTCCTCATTTGATGTCACTGGCATCCCATCTTGCATCTCATGGGTTTTTTTGCCTGAGATTTACCTGTAAAGGCCTTAATATTGTACATAGAATTAAGGCATATAAATCAGTTTTGGTAAGAAAATTTCTTTATATTTACTTATAACAATTCTGTTTTAAAATTCTTAATAAATTTAAGACAAATTCTATTAGCAGTCATTTGGTTTATCTTAAAAAGCTTTTAATGAATATTAGAAACTTCAACAGAACATGAAGGCTGTATAATAGATTCTCTTTTTTGCTGTCAGTTTCCATGGAGATGAATGCTCACATCATAATATTCTTCTGTGGTACTGCCAAGGGAAGCTATTTATGATGTAATTTTCTTTCTGGAATTATATAACTTCAGAGTATAGTTCTGAATATTTGCCTACCATACCACAAGTATACAAATATAGCACAGTTTGAAACTAAAATCACTGGATAAAACAAATCTGAAATTTTTTTAATCCAGATTATTTCAAACTTGATAAATTTTTCAGGGCTTTAAATTAGACATTAGTATTATTAAATTCTGTATTAGTTGGAAGCTTTTACTAGCTTTTTTGAAAAAATGTAATTCTTTAAAAATATTTAACTAGTAGAATCTTGAATTTTATAGACTGGTAAAGTGATTTTTTTTTCTCATTACTTGCTTATATTACCCAGGATTTGATTTGATAGTGACAGCATGACCGAAAGTGCAAAGAACTGGTTACCTCTTTCCAGAAGAATCCCTTAAGATTTTATGGTTGTCTTTACAATGATTTTCATACATTTCAGTAATGATGAGAAATATATGTTGGTTTTCCAGTGGAATATTTTATAGGAGAAGAATTGATCATTGTTTGGTTGGTTTTTCTAGAATTACCTAAAGACCTTAGGAGAATACAAATTGGCAGGTGTTTTCCTTGGCGGTAAGTTATAATACTTGCTTTTAAATCTACTAATATTAATATAGGAACAGGTAATCAAGAATTAAAATTAACTGATGACAGGGAACTACTTGAAGGATTTTTTGTTTTGTTAAGTCACTTTCTTGTATAACATCAAGGTACTTTATATGTTTAAAGCAAATTTAAACCTGATAGATACATATTGTAACCCAAAGATCTCTCCTTTTATTTATATCTCTGAGTCACCCTCTCTAAATGATTCCTTCACAAGGATCTTTAAGTAGTCTTCAGAAAAATAATTCCTTTTTTTTTTATTTTTAAACGTAGGATCAAGTTTTAGCTCTTTATGAATCCATAGATGTCCATTAGGGGTATTGCAGCTTGTTAATTGCCACTTTTTGGAGTTAAGTGATACAGTTATATGGATGAACAGTAAATGAAATCTAAGTTGCCGTATTATCACCACTTCTTTATATGAATGTTTATATATCAAACTGAACTTAATTTTAATTGATTTTAGGTCGTTCAATGGGGTCAAGAGCAGCTGCTTCTGTAATGTGCCATAATGAGCCAGATGACGCTGATGATTTTGTTCGAGGTCTCATTTGTATTTCTTACCCACTGCACCATCCAAAGCAGCCACATAAGCTTAGAGATGAAGATCTCTATCGTATAAAAGATCCTGTATTGTTTGTGTCAGGTTCAGCAGATGAAATGTGTGAAAAGGTGATTTACAACTTGATGTTTGTGTAAATGAGAGAGTGAATGAAAGAATTATCTTGGGAATAAGATGTTACCTGCAGCTTTCAGGCTCTTTAAAAGGTGCTGATTAGTCTAATGCTAGTTTTGTGACTTAGTTACCTGTTGCTTTGGAGAACCGAGAAATATAAGCATGCTAACAGAATTCATCTCCCTGGAAGAGTGGCTAAATGGTTTGACTCTTACTTGGAATGAAAGATTAATATCTGAATCTCGTGGTTTGGGGATTACTAGACTGTACGTTTGTTTTTATTATTTCAACATTCAAGCAGCTTCTTCAATTATAAAATTGGCTCTTGAGGAAGAGTTAATAACTTGTACATGTTACTATATACTGTCAGTAATGAGTACTTGCTCCGTTCTGTGGTATTGCTGTATCTGAGAGACGTAGACTGCCACTTCTGTGGACATTTATTTGCATATTCCATTGCTTTGAAAGTTGTCCTTAGAGTAGGTATTTAATGAATATTTAGTGAATGGATGCTAGTATAGGCGGTACAGGAGGGAGAGAGAGAGAGAGAATCCTTAGTAAACACTAAAAGAGCATTAGTCTAGTATCTTCTTCTTTTTTTCCATTAGAGCTTGTTGGAGAAAGTGGCACAGAAAATGCAAGCTCCCAATAAAATCCACTGGATTGAGAAGGCAAATCATTCCATGGCAGTGAAAGGACGTTCAACAAATGACGTTTTCAAAGAAATAAATACACAGATTTTGTTTTGGATCCAGGAAATCACTGAAATGGACAAGAAATAATTGTATTTAGCTAAAAGCCTTGTTATTTTGAATACAAATATAGTGCATTTGATAAAGAACAGCATACCTCTCGGCATTATGAGAGATTTCAGATGAATTTAATGTTCCCCCATTTTTAAAACATGTTTTAATTGTGAAATTAATGTGCTTTACAAAATAACAGTCTTTTGAAAGCACTGTTATAGTTGTATAAAGATGATGTACAAATATTGATGGTGGTCTAAATATAATTTATTTTCATTAATATAGTTAAGTTTTGAAAAAATTAAACATTTGAATTTTGTTATCGTAGAACTTTTGTCTTACTTTCCATACAGCTGAGAACATGATTCTGCAGAGCAGTGTCTTTAAAACGGGAAAACAACTGTTACTTCACTGTGGTAAATGTAGTCCGTTTTCTACACTGTACACACTCATTCACCTAATCTGTTAATCTCAGTTTAAGGGTAGGAGGGAAGATACGTTTTCATGTATGGGGACCCTGAACCTTGTTTTTCAAATGAAGTAACAACTTTCATTCAGGAAAGGTTTACTGGGGGCACCTGGGTGATTCGGTTGGTTAAGAGTCTGACTTTGGCTTAGGTCATGATCTTGCGGTTCATGAGTTTGAGCCCCGCATTAGGCTCTGTGTGGGCAGCTCAGAGCCGGGAGCCTGCTTCGGATTCTGTGTCTCCCTCTCCCTCTACCCCTCCACTCCCGCTCTGTCTCTCTCCCTCAAAAGTAAATAAACATTAAAAAAATGTTTGGGGCGCCTGGGTGGCTCAGTCAGTTAGGTATCCGTCTTCGGCTCAGGTCATGATCTCACGGTTCATGGGTTTAGTCCTGAGTCGGCCTCTGTGCTGACAGCTAGCTCAGAGCCTAGAGCTTGCTTCAGATTCTGTATCTCCCTTTCTCTGACCCTCCCCATTTATGCTGTCTCTCTCTCTCTCTCTCTCTGTCTCAGAAATAAAACATTTAAAAAAATAAATGTTTACCGAAGGCCTATTACAGGCAAAGCTTGATTGGGCTTGCAGGGATGAGTAAATACTTAGAGCTTAAATATAATGGAGGAACTTGATGTCTAGACCTCTCTCCGAATAAGGGGAGAATGAAATAAGGACTAAATAGTGGGACTAACATCTGGGATGTATCTAGGAAGAGTTAGGGCATTTCATTTTGGCTTAGGAAGTTCAGTTAATACCTCAACTTAAATAGTGTTGAGTTCTATATTAAAAACATAAGTGTCTATGTTTCCTACAAACGGCACAAAATGTGATGGAGCTGATGATGCAGAAGTTTGTAGTGAAGGGTGGTTTTCTATAGTAAGATAGTAACTCATTTTTCTGCCTTCTCTACTGCTCTAATACTAGGCCCTTCAGACAGCCTCAGGGTGGACTGGGTAGTTTGCAGATTTTTGAGGTCCCTCATTCTTCTCTGGTGGAGTCCATGGATTTTAAATACTTTTAAATTTTTCTCAATAGTGCACAAAGAACAGAAACCTAGGTAACAGTATCCAAATCATTTATATTGCAGAATGAAATTATGTACTACTATGCAATCAAAATTTCAGTGTCAGTGAATAATACTTTTTGACTAAATTTCTTGAACAAGGCTTACATTTTAAAAAATAGTACATAATCATTGTTTAACATTTGAAACTTTAAAAAACAGTTCTGATATCAAGATAGTATAAACACATAAAACACATCCAGAGCTGACAAATATAATTATGGCCTATAAACAAATATAAGTCAATTGGGAAATACTAATATTACAAATCAAAAATAAAACTAATGGGAAAATAAAAAGGAGAACTTATTATAGAGCAGACCATAATATAAAAAGTACAATGAAGAAATAGATTTAAAAGGTTACTAACCAGGCTATGTATGTAGTTACATTTGTTTGCAAATTAAACGGTGGGTATAACATAAGTGACCAAAGATACTACATCAAATATAGAGATGACCTAGGTCACTGAAAGTTGATTTTTCCTTGAGTTACTTGTAAGAAACTTCCTGACTGATGAAATCGCTTGTCATTTGAGAGCTGTGTACCAGTGCACAGCTAGGGGATGTATGGCTCCTGGAGATAGATGAGCGATATGTCAAAGGCCGAAGTGAACATTTGTGAAAAGGTCCCAGCTGCTCCTCACAGATGGGCCACGTCTTGCAACAGAAAAGTTTGAGATTATGGTTAAAGAGCTGTCCTGGCGCCTCCTGTGGCAGACACCCTCCTTAATGGCACAGCCACTACTGAGACCAATAGTTTTCCACTAGGAGTGATCTGGCCCCCTAAGGGACGTGTGACAATGTCTGGAAATTTCCGGTTGTTAACGACTGGGGTGGCCGTGCTACTGGAGGAAAGGGATGCCGCCAGCAGTCTGTAATGTGCAGGGCCGCAACCGCAACAAAGCAGGATCTGATCCAAAATGTCAGTGGCTTCCATGTTGAGAACCTTGCGATCATCTTGAAATCCTTTCTCCGTCACCATTAGCTTTCCTCTGCCTTCCAAATCCATTTGCTTCCCGTTAGTTGCCAGATCGTGAGTTTTCAGCGTCTGATTCTGTCATCTCTCTCGTTTATGCTGCCATTACTCTTAATCCAGGCCTTCACCAATTCTCGTCTAACTGCAGTCACCCAGTTGATGTTCCTATTTTGTTGTCTCCTTGCTTCAACAAACCAATGGACACTTTCAAGTCAAAGACTGTGTTGACGGATCTTCAAATGTGACTACTAAGGTTGAAGTCCTTTGTTCAAAGCTCTTCACAGTAGGGCCTATCAACATTTTTAGCCTGATTTCCCCCACACCATGGGCCTGTGTAGCACGGTGCTCCAGTTCCACGGACGACACAAAGTTTTGGAACAAGGCTTTCTGCTCCTCTTCCTGGAACTTTGTTATTCCTTGCCTGTTACCAAATCCTCCTCATCCTTTAAAATGCTTAAATTCTTTTTCCCCCTTCACAGCTTTTTTTAAAATTGCCCCAACCATGTAGCCCTCCTTGGAACCCATTTAGTATTTTCCTCTCTTGTCAATCACACTCTGCCTTTTCAGTAAGTGGTTGGCGTAGTTGCACCATGTCACGAATACTCCATGTCAGGGAATGGTTTCCACTGATCTTTGTATCCACAGAGCCCTTTTTAGTTAGTTGTTCAGTGTCTTACGTAGTCATTATTCAATATTAGTTGTATTGAACTAAGATATTTACAGAGGAAGAATTTCTAACCATTATGACCAATCCCTGGTTTTATATTGCTGTATTATATGCCTATTATTGGGACTTTTTCCTGATACATAAAAAAGGAAAATCCGGGGCGCCTGGGTGGCTTAGTCGGTTAAGCGTCCGACTTTCACTTAGGTCATGATCTCGCGGTTCGTGGGTTCGAGCCCCGCGTCGGGCTCTGTGCTGACTGCCGGCTCAGAGCCTGGAGCCTGTTTCAGAGTCTGTGTCTCCCTCTCTCTCTGGCCCTCCCCTGCTCACCTAGTTTCACAATGTCCAAATAGTGTGAAGAATGTGACATTACATATAATAAATATTTTACAACTTGAACAGAGTTTTTTGAGTGATTTCTTGTGTCTATGTTCCTATTAGTAATGGAATTTCTCTGGTGTTCATTATTTTTATTTTTTTATTGCCTTCATAATTTTAAGAAATAAACTGAGCTTAGTGCTTTACTTTTTATGCAGTTTACTTGAGATTGACACAAGAAGAGGTTTTTGGTATAAAGGACAGCAGTGTCTGCACTGAGAATTAGGTGACTGTATTTTTCTTCTTTAAGTTTCTTTATTTTTGAGAGAGAGTGTGTGAGTGGGGGAAGGGCAGAGAGAGAGGGAAAGAGAGAGAATCCCAAGCAGGATCTGTGCCATCAGTGCAGAGCCCAACTCAGGGCTCGAACTCACGAACCATGAGATCATGACCTGAGCTGAAACCAAGAGTTGGATACTTAACCGACTGAGCCACCCAGGTGCCCCTAGTAGGCAAGCCCGTAAGTAACAAACATGAGAAAGCCCTGAAGAAGGATACTCTTTCCCTCTTTGCACATTTCCCATCAGCACGAGTGGTTCCTTTTCAGTTCTTACAGAGCTAGTCTGGGGCACACTAATCAGGGATTCAGTGCCATAAAGCTTTGCAGGGTCTCAGGAACTGTAAAGTGTTAAAACATTGAATACCTTTTATAGTAGTTCACATTAAATGAATTAGAGAATGTCTGCTGTCAGGCAAGAGAAATTGAGTATTTGCCAGCTGCATTACTGGCAGAATAAAATCACCCTGAATTGTGTATGTGGGTAAGGGGGTGGTCAGATAGAAGGATATACTCTATCCTGGAATATCCAGAGGAATTGGCTAAAATTTCTTGAAGAATTAATGAATGCTGGTCCTGCATGCTGGAAGGCTGCCCTTTGCAAAAACAAACCCCAATATCATAGGTAAGCCTAAGTGAAGATTAGAAATGCCTGTAGGCTATTCTTTAGTGGACTGGAAGGCTATAAACCCTGATGCTTAGGATGTGGCATTGAACTCATTATTTCAGATACTCCAGGAAGGTAAGAGCTCAGTAAATCTTTTCTTGCGTTCAGTTATACTTCTGTGACAGAAGAGACCCGAACAGTTAACTCCAGTGTAAAAGAATATACCTCTTTCCTCAACCGACCTTGAATAAGTGAAGACAAAGTTAACGAAATCTTCAAAGAGAAAATGCTCTAAATCCAAAGTGGGGTTAACATTTTACATGAATAGTCCAGACTGTCTTGTATTTGCTCCGTAAACTTAAAAGCCCACTTTCTAGACTGTGAGGGAAAGGGAGCAGCACATAAACCTGACTCTTTAACTCTGACATCAAGAAGCTTCACAAGGAGTTGTTCCCTGAGGTCACTACAGACAGGATAAAAAAGGAATTCACTGCAAGACCATTCCAAAATCTACCTCTAGTTTTCAGAATGTTACAGCAGATTGTTGCGGAACATTGCTGACAGGCCCCTCTAGCAAAAAGAAGTATAAAATGAGATGTTCTATCTCAAGAAAACAAAATCAGGCAGACCCGTAAGAGACAAAATAACATCTTACCTAGTGACCGTAAGACATTATAAAACTAAAAATTGACTTGATATTTATCTGAAACTGAAAATTTCAGTTTCAGCATTTCTTTTATTTTTTTTGTGTTTTTTTTTTCTAACAACACTACATTCATATTTTCCTAATCACAAGCATAAAATACAGTAATCCTGGTGGTACTAGGAAATGGTTATGCCCAATTCAAATTTGTTCTGTATTCTTTGAATTACAGGATAGTAATCACTTCGCTAAGGGATTGTTTATAGAACTATATTTTCTTTTTGTGAAATTAATAAAAGGTCATTTACAATTTTTAAGTTAAAAAAACTACTAAAGCGCCGTACATGTCCCACCAGTGAGCTTCCGTTATTGCTATGGAAAGTTGATATGAGCTCAGTTGAATACCCTCTATGACACGTACTGCACTTAGGCCCAGACCATTCCCTGCAGCACTTGATCAAGACACTGAGCAGCACTGGAAAGTTTTTTCTGGCAGAGCATTGCATGGGGTTATGAGATGGACAAACCACCTTTTTGTGTTTTGGAGCATCCAAAATCGAAGACTTCAGAATGAAACATCAGTCTATTTCACATATTACATAAAAATGTCAAGGGAATTTTATTTCTTTAAAAAAGCAGTGCGGAATAGACTGGAAGATGATACATTTTTGACACTGTGGGAACTTGTGGAGTCCTGGACTCAAAATGATTGGATGACAATATTTTTTATAATTTTCCTAGGAATTATTTTTGAGATCATACTCATAAAGGTTTATACATCCTTTCAAAAGAAGCCTGCACTTCCAGAAAAGGGCAGTTCAGGTGCCCAGAAGGTAAGAGCAAATGTTGGGTTTCTTTCTCCTCTATTTTTCAAAGTCACATGAGAATAACTTGTAAAATTTAACTCTGGCATTTGGATTACTCCTTTAACATTTATTTTATTGTCTCCTTGAAATAGAAGAAAGACAGTTGCCTGAAAAGCATGAAATTTGGTAAATATTATATAATTTCATATTTTAATAGGAAACTTGTTCAACCAGAGTTGTTTCTATTAGTGTCCTGACTTCTTTTTTTTTAACTTCCCACTTCTCTCTAGATAACTGGTCATTTCATTCCTCATCTTCGGAAGAAAGGTAAGTGACACATTGTGACATTAAATTTAATTTCAGGTTGGTTTTGTTCTATTCAAAATTGCATTTGCATCTGCGTTACAGAAAAGGGTTTTCCTGTATGTATAGAAGACCACAGCTCTCTGATGTCATAATTCAATGTAATGTTGATTTTAATGGCTGCTCTGTTACAAGCTGTGTTAATGACTTTTCATGTACTGTTAAAGTTAACCTTTCAAGTAGCTAGTATTACTACTGCTCATACGAATAAGGAAAAAGAAAGTTTACAGAGGTGTAGTAACTTGCTTCCCTATCCAACCTCTTTCCCCAGTACACACACACGGAGAAATAGTAACACCAGTTCTGATCATTCAGTTGAGAAAATATCGGTTAGCACCTTCTGTGAGCCAAGGAACCTTAAGCTAGGTACTGCAAAAGTGACACTCTATTTCTACAATCCCAAAGCATCCCAAAGGGTCCTGGGGGCCAAATATGACAGCACTGCTCTTATTGCTCTTAATATGTGAATTGCTGTTATCAAAATCCATTCAACAATCATTAGATATCTCCTCTACGATGAACATTGTGTTTGGTACTGGATTACAAACAACAAGAGACTGTCTGTTCTCAAGAAGCTTACTTTCTTTTTTTTCTTTTAATTTTTTTATGTTTATTTTTGAGAGAGAGAGAGACAGGCAGAGCATGAGTGGGGGAAAGGCAGAGAGAGAGAGGAGACAGAGAATCTGAAACAGGCTCCAGACTCTGAGCTGTCAGCACAGAGCCCGATGTAGGGCATGAACTCACGAACCTCAAGATCATGACCTGAGCCAAAGTTTGACACTTAACTGACTGAGCCATCCAGGCACCCCAAGAAGCTTACTTTCCTGTGGAGGAAACATACACATAAAGGGTGATTGCCTTGCAGGTTGGTAACAATGAAAGAAACATTAGAATATTTAGGAGATGCCTAAGCCAGCATAGTGTGTTGGGGAAGTCTTCATGAAGAAGGTTATGCTGGAGCTGAATTGCATTTATTTATTTATTTTAAGTTTATTTATTTATTGTGAGAGAGAGAGAGAGAGAGAGAGAGAGAGAGAGAGAGGAAGAGAGAGAGAGAGACAGGGGGAGACAGAGGGAGAGAGAATCCCAACCAGGCTCTGCAGAGCCTGATGTGGGGCTCGAAGTCACAAACTACAAGATCATGACCTGAGGTGAAATTGGTCCTTTAACCAACTCAGCCATCCAGGCATCCCTGAAGCTGAATTTTAAAGGATAAGTAAAAAGTAGTCAGAAAACGACAGCAGGGGGTGCCTGGGTGATTTCCACTCAGGTTATGATCTCATGGTTCATGGGATCAAGCCCCGCGTTGGGCTCTGTGCTGACAGCGTGGAGCCTGCTTGGGATTCTCTACCTCTCCCTCTCTCTCTAAATAAATAAATAATAATAAACTTAAAAATTAAGTTTAAATAAATAAATAAACAAACTTAAAAAACAGTTTAGGAGGGTAAGGAGAGCATTCCAGGACATGAGTAGATGAAGGAAATAAGAAAGAGCAGGGCATGTACAATCAATGATGATGATTATAGTGCAGAGATATGGCTCCTACGGTGGACAGCATATTGTAGTGAAGAACCACAAATTTTGAATTTAAAGTAGTCAAGGTTTATATCCTAGTTCTGCCTCTTAATGATACTGTGGCCTTGGCTTCAACCCACTGATACTCCATTTCTTTGCTTTCCAAATAGCAGTTAGAAGAATTGCTCCTTAGTTGAAACAATAGGTGTAACAAAGCACAAAGCAAAAGCACTTTACCCTGGTGCCAGAATTGTTTTGGGGACAGAACTACATTTACGAGGGCACTTCACTTATCCTGAAGTGAAACTGCTTGAATATTACTGGAAGCCCATGCAGAACACTGGTCGAAGTGCATCGCATCAGACACTGAGTGAGTTCTGCCTTGCTTATGAGGTGGGAGAGAAGAGAAAAGTGGAGGGGTGGGCAGAGAGGAGGGAGGAGCAGGGGGGGAAAGAGGTGACTGAATGGCATAAAGGACACTGAAGGGTGAGGCCACCACTCAGTATGTGAGGGCCCTGCTGGCCAGGCATAGTCTTGCCCATCTTGCACCCATCGGGTTTTTGGGAATGGTTTGTTTCAAGGTTGACATCAGCCTTACAAATGTGTTCCTGGGAGAGTCTGCCACCATTATATGACTTTCAAAGCTTGGAGCTGTCACTGACCTGTTGTTTTAGAAGCGTATCTCCCAAAGGGAGTTATCATTGATAAAATGGTTTCAAAACAGATTTCGTATTTGTTACTCTGACTATAGGACTGTCCTGTGACTACAGTCCATTGAATGATTTAATGGATTTACATTTATTGGTATTTACTTGTTATCATGGCTATAGACTTGTCAGTCTTCCTAGGAGGGTGTGGATTTCTTTTTAAAGCTTCGAAGGCCAGTTGAGATTGCTGGGAAGAGGCCAAAGGACATTTCAAAAGTGGAGAGACATGCCTGATGTTCAAGTGGGTGTTATTTGTATTGCTGTAACCAACTTCCCTCCATTTCTGCCTTTAATTCTGAGCCACACTTATGGGTGGTTTGTGTGTGTGGGTTTCGGCCCCCCATCCCTACTTACTAAACTAAAAGAAGGGGTTCGGTTGTGTGTCTGGGTCAGCTTGTTGTGGAGGAGGGTTAGTAATCAGACACCTACAGGCTAAAGTGGTCACTGAGCAGATGCTTACCAAGTTCCAACTATGTGCCAGGCATTGCTATAGGCCCCTGAGATCTATTACTGATACAAAAGCAACGACTCTTGCCTTACATTTTATTTTATAAAGTTTATTTTGTTTTCTTTTTTAAAGTGTACTTATTTATTTTGAGAGAGAGAGTGAGCACACAGGAGGGGCAGAGAGAGAGGGGGAGAGAGAGAGAGAAAGAGAATACCAAGCAGGTTCCATATGCAAGGCTCGAACTGAGGAACTGTGAGATCGTGACCCAATCGGAAATCATGAGTCAGATGATTAACCAACTGAGCCACCCAGGCACCCCTGTTCTGTCTTATATATTTAAAAAATTATTTTTAAGTTTCTTTATCTTTAGAGAGAGACAGCATGAGTAGGGGAGGGGGAAGGAGGAAGGGAGGGAGAGAGAGAGAGAGAGAGAGAGAGAGAGAGAATCCCAAGGAGACTCTGCACCGCTAGACAAAGCCTGATGTGGGGCTCAAACTCAAAATACTGTGAAGTCATGACCTGAGCTGAAACTGAGAGTCAGACACCCAACTGACTGAGTCACTTGGGCGCCCCATCTGTCTTATATTTTTAAAGGATTATTTTGCCTGTTGAGAATAGATTCTATTCGGTCAAGGGTCTAAGAAGATGGCAGGCTATCTGAAAGTAATCCAAGTGAGAGATAAAGGTGAGTGACCCCAGGGTGGTAGCAGTGGAGGTGGTGAGAAGCATTGGTTTCAGGGTATGCTTAGAAAAGTAGAGTCAACAGGGTATGGATGTGAGACAGAGAGGAGGCAGAGATGGCTCGTGAGAGTTTTGGCCTGAGCATGTAGAAAGATGCAGTTGTCAAAAACTCAGATGAAGGAAACTGGGTGGAGCAGGTTTTTTTTTTTTTTTTAATGTTTTATTTATTTCTAGGAGAGAGAGAGAGACAGTGTGAACAGGGGAGGGTCAGAGAGAGAGGGAGTCACAGACTCTGAAACAGGCTCCAGGCTCTGAGCTGGCAGTCAGCACAGAGCCCAACGCGGGGCTCGAACCCACGAACCACGAGATCATGACCCAAGCGAAAGTCGGACGCTTAACCGACTAAGCCACCCGGGCGCCCCATGGGTGGAGCAGGTTTTGATGAGGAGATCAGGAATTTTGTTTTGCATTTGTTGAATTAGAGATATCGATTTGATATCCAATGGAGAGAGTGAATAAGTGGTTTGGGAAAGATGTCTGGTCGAGTTAAGTTTGGAGGCTGTTGGCATATGGGCAGTATTAAAGCCTACAAGAGAGGATGAGATTTCAAAGGGCCTGGGAGAGGAGAAAAGGAACAAGGACTGAGCCCTGAGACGCTTCAAAGGGGTCAGGAAGGAGAGAGGAGCCATCGAAGGACGCCGAGAAGGAGCCAGCAGTGAGTTAGTAGGAAAGGGGGAGAAACGATGGCCTGGGAGCTCACCCAATGGAGAGTATGTAGGGCTGGTGTACAAGATAGGTATCAGACCTATATCCCTTATAAATAGAGGAGCAAAATCCCCAAAAACATACTAGCAGCCCGAATCCAGCAGCATATTAAAAGGATTGTACACTGTGACCAAGTGAGATTGTTTCTAAGAAAGCTCGGTTGGCTCAACATATGAGAATTATCTAGCACTGTTTTATTATGTTTAAAAACACAGTATTTTTGCTGAAATACTTGCATATAAGCTTTCCTCTTTTTCCTGAAAGCTGCAGAAATTTTTTGTTTGTCTTATGTTTTCACTATTTGTTCTACTTTAAGTGACCATCACATTCTTGTCCTGATGAAATTTAATCCTAATTTTGTCCAGACACTGGCATAATTTATTGGGGTCACTTGATTCCCCAGAATGCTTATATAGCCTTCCTGTATCTGTTAGGATATTGTAATTCTCAGGAAACAGAAAACCATGATTCACACTGCCATGCTAAGAGAATTTATGATATTATATAATGGGAAATCCTGAGGTAGTCTAGGCTGCAGAATTGGTTGATAGAGTAGGCCACCAAGTTCATTAAGGTTTTGTATCTCTCCCTTTGTCTGTCTCAGTGTTACTTTTCTCTTGAGGTGGGTGGGAAGGTGGCTACCAGAGTTGCAAAATCAGAACGGCAATGTCCAGAGGAAGTAAAAGGCCATTTTTTTCTGTGTCTTTCTTAGGAAGAAGGCAGCTTTCTCCATAAGCCCTTACAAATCTTTGTCCTATGCTAGGATTTGTTCATGCCCATGCCTAATCTAATCCCTTGGAAATGAAAATGAGATGACTGTGTTAGACTTAGTCTAATCACTTGATGTAGAATAGACGTTGGAGAGCTCACTTTATGATCATTATTCCAATCCAAAATTGTACTGAGAAGCACTGGCCTAAAATGTAGGCTTTTCTCTCCATTAGACATAAACAGCTGTTAAAATAATCAGGACTTATATATAGAAAGCTACAGTTTATGGTATTGAACATTCTTCTGTTGTATCTACTAAATTTCCATAAGAATATTTTTAATCTTGGGGTGCTTGGGTGGCTCAGTTGGTTAAGTGTCCAACTCTTGATTTCAGCTCAGGTCATGATCTCAAAGTGTGAGAGATTGAACCCCATGTCGGGCACCTCACTGACAGTGCAGAGCCTGCTTGGGATTCTCTCTCTCCCTCACTCTCTTTCCCTTCCCTGCTCTCATGCACGCACACTTTCTCTCTCTTTCAAAATAAATAAATAAACTTAAAAAAAAAAAAGAACATGTTTATTCTTGTCAAAACTTTTCATACAGAGAACCAAAATAACAGATATTTCTTGTAAAAGGTTATACAATAAAACCCTGGATTGTAATTTGGTCTATGAGTGTTTTGCAAGATAAGCAAACATTTCTAATACATTTAACTTGATAAATGAGTGATGTCTTGCAATACTAGTAGTACTGCACACCAGTGTCACATGAGCACAGCTGAGCCAATGGTCCTTCGGTCCTTCTCTGTCTCTGTCTCTGTCCCTGTCTCTCTCTCTCTCTGCGGGATTGTGGGTGATCATCTCCCATGCTTGGATGCTCAGTCTCAGGCTGCAGTGTTTGACAGAAAGCAGTGATTTTTCAGAACATTGGAAGGTGCCCACAACTGGCACTAGTGTATTTTTTGTCACTGCAAAGCACCTATGGACAGTCCTTTGCTCTTCCATACCAGAGTGAGCTTAGGAAGGCTTTGCTTCATTCTAGGGTAGGCTGCCTGCAGGTAGAGACCCTTTCCTCTGCTGCCTTATTGCCAATTACATTCAATACAGTCTATGACAAGAGTTTATTAATACTGTACTGTAGACAACATCCACGTGAGCATATACAATGGTCTCCATGCAGAAAAAGATTCCAGTGAGCCAATACGTAGCAGTGATTCCATCAGTGATAGTGAAAGTCATCCTACACAGTAACTAACCTTCCTCTTGTCTCCCTCATACCAGCCACGAAGGTTTTCAAAGGTAAGTGCAGGTTAATTTGTTTATTTTTCTTTATATTTTGTATTTCCTTTATTATTTTGTATTATATTATAGTATTGTAATCATTTTTAGATGAATAGTTTTGGGTTGAGGAATGAATCATCTGAGTTTCCATGATTTCTTATGGGGAAATCTGCTTTGATATATAAGTGCCTTGGATTACAAGCATGTTTCCAGAAGAAATTATGCTCATAAACCAAGGTTTTACTATAATCTTTACCTGCAACTTTGACTGTTTGCTGTCAAAGTAGACTTTGGGAGGTGCCTGGGTGGCTCAGTTGGTTGAGCATCCAACTTTTGGTTTCTGCTCAGGTCATGAACTCATGGTTTGTGAGTTCAAGCTCCATGTCAGGCTCCATGCTGACAGTGCAGAGCCTACTTGGGATTCTCTGTCTCCCTCTCTCTCTACCCCTCCCCCACTTGTACTCTCTCACTCTCCCACTCTCAAAATAAATTAATTAATTAAAAAAATAGACTTTGGGATATGTTTTTGAGGTAAAAATCCCTCATTCTCTGAGAAATGAAAATAATTTACTTCACTTTGTCAGTGGATTGATGTATTAAGTGAGTGGAACTAGGTTATGAATTATTCTGTAATGTGAATAATGACGTTTCAATTCATCTTTATATTTAGCTGTGTTTTTCTTATACTATACAGAGTTACCTTAAATCTAGAAGAGAGTTTTTGTTCAAAATACGTCCTAAGTGATAACTCATTTACACACTGTTTTCTTAGATTCAGAGTTGATGACTTTTCAGAAAAAACAATAACTTCATCACTTAAAACTAAAGACAATGAAGGCAACTTTGAAGACAGAGTCTCACCAGCAGATGAAGTAATATGGTCAGGTACCAGTGAAAGTAAATATCAAGTAAGTTACGTTGGTGAAAGTCATACGCCATCTTCAAATGGGACTAGCTCACCTTTGTCACTGTTTCATTCAGAAGTAAAGGATTTTTTTCTAAGCCCTAGAGGATTTCCAGAAAATGAACATAAAACAGGTCAATTTTCATCCAAGAAATTATTTTCAATAATGAAAACGAACAAAAATAAAAATCCAGAGTTTTCTTCTGACTTTAACTTTTCAAGAAGTTCTAGCATCTCCAGAGAAAGTGAAGATTCCAGAGAAGGTGAAGGTCTAGATAGGGCACCGTGTCCTCCTGCCCACTTATTTCTTTCCAGAGACCAAGTCAGACTTCTGGAAGAAAATGTGAGAAATCAAATTCCTTTAAAATCCAAAACTACATTAAAGAGTAACACTACTCATCCATACTCAATACCTCAAGAGTCCTTGATTCAAAATCAACTTTCTGTTGAAATGGATACTTCTGCCCAAGCAGAAGATTCTTTTCCAGTACAAAACGCAACTCAGAATCAAGGTTTCTATGAAGCCAGATTTAAGAGTCAGGCTCAACAATTTGTCAACAGCCATCCTGATGATATGGCCAGATATTTTGCTCTGCCTCAAGATTTGACTAGGAAGCCATATTCCAACAGCACACAAGACTCCTTTCAGACCCAAATTATGGGCAGAAGCCAACATTTGATCAATGTTCCATATTCTGTTGAGACTCAAGATCCAATCAAGGGCCTAGAGTCTGATACAAAACACTTACATGAAGCCCAATATTCTATCTGGTTTGAAGATTTAAACAAGACTAAACATTTAATGCAGGGGCAAAATGCTATTTTTAAGAATGCCAGATTTCTAGTTTTAACTGTAAGTCCAAATTCATTTGCAGAAGAGCTACTCCAAATAAGGAGTGTAAAGCCAGAGGGCCAGAAACAAATTGCTTCAGAATTAAACCAGTATTCTGTATATACCTCATTGCGTGTTTCACCTACCCTTAAATGGCAGAAAAACAGGAGAAAAGCATTTCACAGTAGAAGTAAACTTAGTCTCAAAATTTTATCTCAAAAGTCGAAGAAACCACCAACTCCATGGGTATTTCAAATCACAGTATGCCACACTTCAAAACCTGGCAAGTTAGGGTGCAACTATAATGCTAAGAAGAAAGAATTACATCAAAGAAAAGGTGTATCAGATATAGCTTTGCATCTTCTTTATGTTTCCAAGCTTCCTCCTCCTTATATTAAGAAGTATTCCAGAAAAAAACTAGTAAAAGTCACGCCAGGTGTAACAGGATGTAGACATTCTCTGCTTATGCAAAATAAGTCACTGGATGCAGAGAATGTCAATTGTGTGGAGTCTGTTGAGAAAAGAGGAAACTTAGACAATGCTAAAAATGTAAAGCAGCATGGCAGAGAATATGAAGGGCAAAAAAGCATTTCAGCAAAACTTCCACCCCGGCTAGAACAGTCTTTCATGGTCAGTACTTTTCAACTAAAAGCACCTTGTTCTTCATTAATAGAAATGAACTGGAAGAATAAAGAGTCTTTTAAAGACCCAATTACACAAGAAAAAGAAATTGGTATTGCAGAGTTCCATGCCCCCAATAGTAAAAAAACATCTGACCTGCATATTCCAAAGCATGAGACACCTTTAGAAGAAGCTGTATCAGAACCTTGGCAAAAATTTGCTTCCTCTCGTGAAATGGAATCAAACAGAAGAATGGAAACACAGGAAGACCTAAAAAGTACAGAGAATTCCCATCTTCCACTTTCAAGTGGAGACAAGTTACCAACTAGTTTGCCAGAAACACAAAGGTGCTTTCCAAATAGAAATATACAAAAGCAAAAAGATTTTCTGGAAATTGTTCTGGAGACTTCAGAGGTCAATTTGCTTATCTCACTAGGAACTAAAGAGCAGAAAAGCAGTGAGCAATTAGCAAGTGTAAAAACTCAAGAGAGTACAGAAGATATAATTATGAAGGAAAGGAAACCGTTAATACTTCATGTAACAGAATGTGATAACCTAAGTGAAAGTGAGAGTCTGGCATGTAACACTAGAATCAACATAAATATGCAAGATAAAAGAATATTTGCTACATTTCACAATGCCACTAACACGACCATTTCTGAGCGACCTAATATGAAAATGCATAACAGATTGAAAACCAAGACAGATATATCAACAACAGGTTTTAGTCCTTCCGTGGTAGAGCAAGAGAAATTACCAGATGAAATGAAAGCATTAGATGCAAAATACATTGAGGAGAGATGTATATTTAAAAAGCCAGAAGAACATGGAAGAGAGGAAGAGGAAGAGACTTTCCAGGAAGCAGTTTCACAGCTGAAGCAGGATTTCAGGGTCAGCCTGCAGCTAAGGCAGAAGCCTAAATATGTCAGATTTGAAATAAAACAGAACAGTTCATGTAGTAGAAAAACCCCAAATAAAGAGCAAGAGGTACAACCACAAACTTTTTCTATAGAAACCATTGTGGGGAGTACTTCATGCCCCACAAAGGATCAATTTCAAGTTCAGGTAAAGCAAAGCACAGACAGACCTACAGGCAGAGAGACTGAAGATCCGAAGAATCCTCTCACAGTGCGAGAGAACTCACCAGTGGGTGAAGTTTTAATTGATACAACAGAGCGTAATGTCCCATTCGGTGGAAGCCCCAGAAAGATACCAGATGGTCATATTGCAGAGGAAAAGGAAAACTTAAAACGAGTTTTACCTGCAGCTGCCCTGGGGTCATTCATCATCCACATGCTTCCTTTATCATCTTTCAAAAGGCAGAAAATCAGAAGCAAGTTATCAGGAGGAAAAAGCATACTCAGTCCCACACTTGTCATTATGAAAGTAAAGAAGCCAGCAAATTTACTGATGCCTTATATCAGTAAGCATGGTATGCCAAGTCTTAGGAGAAAACTGAGAGGCAATTTAAAAATCCTATTTAAACAGATACTGCAAGATAAAATTGTCACTCATGTGCTTGTGAATGATACTTACCCTCACGTGTCTACTGTGCCTCGTCTTACAATTCACAGCAGATTCAATGCGGAGAATCACAGTCATACCAAGCTAAACCAAGAGGAATCAGAGGAGGAAAGGGATGAAAAGTATTCTGCTTTTATTAAGAAAGGAAATGACTCCGGAAACATACTAGAAGAAGCTAAATTGCAAGATGAAGTGAGAAGAGACAAAGAAGCTCCACCAGAAGCAGTCCTTCGTGATCCCTGGAACCTTGGGCTGAATGCAAATCCAAAGAAGGAGCTGAAAACACAGGAAGAAATGCCTCAACCAGTTACATCCAGAGAAAGCCTTGTGGAGTCTGTATATATTCCGATAATGGATCTATTTCATGTTGAGACTATGAAGAAAAGCCTAGCAACACAAGCAGACTTAAAATGTACTGCAGATGCCAAAATGCCTCTTCCAGCATCAGAAAAATCACTGATTGGAGAAGCTTTAAACCAAACAAGAGAAAGTGATGTTGTAGATTACGGAAATGATGCAAAAGAAATGAGTTACTTTTTTGCAGACACAAAGGCAGAATTACCAAAAGATTTACCAGCAACTTATTCAGAGACATTGAGTTACTACATGCCTGTTTTAACTCATTCAAAAGTGAATAAAAACAGAGTAGGATTCTCACACACAGAAAGTCCGGTGAAGCCCAAGCCTGTACCAATGAATACAGTGAAGCCATCAATTTCACAAGTGTTTAATAGCACAGGAAAGAAATTGGACTCCAAGTTGAAGGTCAAGTCGGAGAAGATCAACCACGGTAATGGATTGGTATATGACTTTATAAGTAGCCTTTTTTCTCCCACACGTAGCAGATTACATGGAGAGACAAACAGCTTCTGTCACACTCAGTTAAAGCAAGGGCAATTAGCAGAGGAAGTGAGACCACAGTATGTTGATTTCTTTGATAAGTGTAGTACATTCCATGACCAAGAAGAAAAAGTGAAAGATGGAGAGGAAGTGGAGCAAAAAACTTTGCTAGAAGCAGCTTTGCAGCGTATGGAGCGTCTCTGGCCCGATGCATTTCAAGGGAAGGAGACCCACCTTGATGAATGGTGCCCAGCATTGGACAGTTTAACACAGCAACTGCCTGTTAATGAGCAAGATGTGCAGCACCAAAGGTGGTTTGCACAAACTACTTTGCAGACTGGCCTCCGCATGGCTCCTAGAGAAGCCAAGGAACTCTGGAAAACCAGCATAACCGAACATGCCCTAACATCCCCTGTGGGTCTGAAGATTCCACTTCCCAAAGCAGAGAACTCGTCATTTGATAAAAGTTTGAACACAGTGACGGAGTGTGGCTTACCATCTGGTGGAGACCCTAAAAGGGAACTAGATTCTTATTTTGTGGAAAACAATTCAGAGTTACCAAAAGATTTGCAGGTGACATGCCTGCATTCCTCTGGTTCCGTTGAGCCCCTTGTTTCTAAATATGAAAGAAAGAAAAACACATTAGAATTAGCAAGGAAGCAAATAACAGTGAATTGCAGATATAGAGCTACTAGGGGAAAAACGCCATCAGTTTCACATGTGCTTGATGGCACGCAGAGCAAGGGGCTGCACTGCAATTTTAAAACAAAGATGAAAAAGCCACAGCAAAATAAAAATGCAGCAGATACATTTCTCAGTATCATTCAGTGCCTGGTGCCTACTTTGCCCAACACAAAAATGAGTAGCGGATTAAATGTACAGACAAATATGCAGAGGGTAACAGGACTTGATCATATGCAGCAAATACAAGAGAAATTGCTAAATGGAGGGAAAGTATGTTGCCCAGATCATATTGTGAGTTCCTTATCTAACAGTATGAAAGATGGGAAAGAGCAGAAAGGGGAACATGAAGTGTCACCAACTCCAGAGACTAGCCAAGGCTTCCTATTCAACACATATCAGAAAGAGAATGTTGACCTTGTCAAATCAGACGAGCAACCGAAACAACCAGGAGGTCGAAATCTTCAGGTACAACCACAAATACGTGGTACACAAACCGTTTTAGGTTCTGCTTCATGCCCCATACTGGATCAGCTTCAATTTGGAAAGCTAGAGAATTACGCTAGGTTTTCACCTCCAAAGTCAGAGGAAGTGAAGAATGATGAGATCCTTTTTTCTGCAAGAGAATATGGTGTTCCATCTGATGCAAATCACCAAAAGGAACAGGCTGGTGGTATTGAAAAGAAAGACACAGTGACTTTTGATTTCTGCCTATTTGCTTTATCTACACCCAAAAAGAAGAGAAATTTCAAGTATTCAGACAAGGAAATCTTAGTGAATACAAAATATGGACTTCTAAAAGCAAAGAAACCATCAGTTTCAAACATATTCAATATCAAGGTTGCATCTAGCCCAAACCATAGAAAAGAATTGGGATGTAACCCTACAACCAAAATGAACGAGGGGGATCATGGTGAAAAAATGGCAGCTAAAATGTATTCTTTCATGTCTATGACACCTGACATTAATGTGTATGACAAGATAGAAAGAGAAAAAGATTTGTTAGGAGAAAGGAGTCTCAGTGCTCAGCCAGTAAAGCAAGCAGTATCAGCACATGAAGGGAATATTACTTCAGATGACACCAACGAAAGCAGTGCTCAGGATGAGGAGGAAGGAAACAGCGAACAGGAGACATTAAAAGTAATTCCACAGTACAGCCAGCATTTCAAATTCTGTTCAGACCAGAGGGAGGAGCTTGACCTTCATCAATCAGAAAACCACAGAAGTGGGAAAATTCTCTTTATTATAGACCAAGACATCCCACAACAAATGCAGCCTACAGATTCAGTGCAGGGAGAGAAGCCAGAGAAGAGCCACCAGGCACACAATGGTGCAGTGTCTATAGTAAGTTCAAAGCTGCCTCCTCCAAAGTCAAAGCACTCACTAATTGGTCAGGTTTTAATGGATTCAATGAAGGATGGTGTCCCAAGCGTGGGTAGCCACCTGGGGGAACGGTACCGTCATGGTGAAGAGGAAAATACAGGGTATAAAAAGGATCTACAAGCCACTGTCTTGGAGTCTTTGAAGGTCTCCATACCTCATCTGTCTGAATCGAAAAGGCATAGAAAGACATTTACATGTAGAGCCTTAAAAAATAAAATGAGTCCCAAATGTCTAATTATGAAGGCAAGGAAAACGTCAATTTCACCAATATTTAATATCTCAGGGAATGGTTGTCTAAAAAACTTCCCTCCGAAGACCCTGAAATCACAGATTATTGACTTTTTAATTCATATAAAGTGCTCTGGGGTACTGGAAGATCTTATTGCAGAGAAAAAAGGATTAGCCCAAGAATTACCAGCAACTATTCTGGAGTCTTTGGATTTATCCACACTTGCTTTACCTGCGTTGAAAAGAAGGAGAAACAATTTAAAATATATAGAGAAGAGAAATAAAATGAGTCTCAAATGGGTAACTTTGAAGGCAAAAAAAGCACCAATTTCCCAGACACTTAATATCACAAAACGTGGCAAACCAAGCCACAGAGGACAATTCAAATGCAACTTGAATATCATGATGAAACCAGGTAAACCCATGGCAAACATAGCCCTAAATGCCATCACCTCTTCCATGCCTGTGTCACTTGACATGAAAATGCATAATAGAATAAAGGCAGAGTCAGATGTGTCGTGGACAATGAGATTTAGTCATGAACGGCAACAGCAAGAGCAATCACCAGATGGAGAGAGAGCCAGGTGTGCCATTTCCAGTGGCAGGAGGGGCCGTGCCTCCAGAGGCATGAAGGAGGTCAAAGGCCAACATGAAGAAGTAGCCTCACGGAGTTCTCAGCACTTCAGTTTCATTGCTGGTAAAATGGAGGAACCTCACTGTGTGAAATCAGAGCTAGAACTGGAGAATTCAGCAGAGAGAAAAATCCCAGAACCCCTTAACACAGCTCAGGAGCTGCAGCAACAAACACTTTTCACACAAAGCGTATTGCATTGTGTTTCTTGCACTATCTTGAACTCACTTTCACTTGAGAAGCTCCTAAAAAGAACAAAAGCACAGAAAGGCTTAAAATATGCAAAGAGCCCAAGAATTTTATCTCCGGAGCTAGGGAAATCCATTCGTGAATCTTTAATTATTACAACACAGAGTGACATCCCATCTGAAAGAGGCCCTAGAAAGGAACGTGCACGATCTATTCCAGAGGGAAAGAGAAGATTGCAAAAGGATTTACAAGGAAGAACCTTGAAGTTTTTGGATTTCTCCACACCGGCTTCATCTGAATTTAGAGGGTGGAGAAAGGGAGCACAAATCCCCAAGTCTAGAACAGGGACAGCACAGATGGCATCAGGTTTAAAGATGATCCACATCACTAGGTCTGCTGCTCTTAGCCATGAAAAGGAACAGGACTGTGTCTTAGAAAACATGGCCACAGAAATATCTCAAGGTATGTCAGATATATCTGCAGATACCTTCCTTTCACCTATACCTGTTTCATCTGGCATCCAAAAGAATAAAAAAACAAAAGCAAAGAAAGACACATTAAGGAATAGAAGCAGTATTACACAGCTAGAGCAACAGGAAGAGGGAAAACTGTGTCCATATTACTCTAATAAATGGAGCAACTCAAGCAGCACATCAGAATCAAGATGGCAAAGTGGCAAAGAAAGAGAGGGCGTTGGAGTTTTATTTGAGCCAGGTCTACCTTTCCTGTGTAGTATGGGAAGGAGAAAAGATCAAAATATGCTTATTACAGAGCAGGAAGTGCAGCGACAAACACTGGCTTCAGAAAATAAATTGGAGTCTACTTGTTCTCCTCCGATTCCATTTCATACTGAAGAGCTGAGGAAGAATATCCCACCACAAAAAGACATACCACATAGAATCGGTCAAAAGATTCCATGTCCAAAATCAGGGAATGCAGTTTCTGACTACTTTTCAACTGATGGAGCAGATTGTGGTACCAAATCCAATGCGAGCCCTGCAAGGAAGCTGGATGCTTACACTGCAGTTTCCCTACAACCTGAAGACAAGGGGGAAGGCATAAAAACTCAAAATATCCCATCTACCAAATCAGGGAATTCAGTGCTTGGAGATCCAGGTGATGAAAGCTCCAGGAGGAAAATGAGTGGTCACATTGCCAGCAAACATATAAAGTTGCAAAGAGATTTACTAACAATGTCTACAACATCTGTTTTCTCTGACTCTATCAGGCAGGAAAAGGTGTTAAAGTTTCCAGGAAGGAAAAATCTCACGGGACCCAAATGTGTGACCATAAAGGCAAAGAAGCCGCTTTGTTCACAGATGCTTCATACCACTGACCATGATAATCTCTACTGTAGAAACAAACAGGACTGCAACTTAGAATCTGTAATAAAAGACGTGCAAGAAAATAAAAGTGTAGCTAATGCATTTTTGTCTCCCACACCTGTTTCAACTGATAACAAAATAGATCTTGAAATGCATAGCACATCAGAAGCAGAGATGAATCAACGAAGAGTAAATCTACCCCGCCAGATCTCTGCAAAGCTAAGGAAATCACCACGTGACAGGGAAGCATGGAAGGCCAGCTCAACTGACACACAAAACAGATCAAGCAACACAATGAAAACAAATGTGCAACATGAAAAGGAAGAGGAAAATATCCAAAGACTGGTATTGGATTCGGTTCCACACGATGGGCAACACTGCAGCTTCAGCACCCATCAAATGAAAAATCCTGGTTCTCACCAATCAAAATCTGAACTGAATAATTCAGAAGTCAGAAGGACTTGGAATTTGCCTTGTACAGCACAAAAGATGAGACAAGAAAAATGCTTTAGAGAAACTATTTTGGAGCCTGTTTCTAGACACGTGATGAATTTTCTTCAAGTTGAAACAGCGAAAAAACGTCTTCTTTCTCAAGAAGAAATAAAATGTGTGGAAGTTCTAAAGACTCCATTGCCGAAAGCAAGGAAATTAGAGACTGGCTCAATACAATGTGGCCCTCTGTGGGATGGAAATCCTAGGAGAAAATGGGATAATCCTATTATGGGGAAAAAGGCATGGAATCAAAATGACTTAAGAACAGTCTTAAAACCTACAGATTTTTCCAGCCTTGATTCATCTGTACCCCAAAGCCAGAGCTACACGTTGGAGTTTGTAAGCAAGAGAAGTGTAATAAATTCCAACCACGTAACTTGGAAGGCGAAGAAACGACCACGTTCACAATTGCTTAATACCACAAGGTGTATTACAGGAAGCCATAGAAAGAAAAAGGGGTGCACATTTCAGTACAAGATGAAAAAGAGACAGTGGATCGAAAGTGTGGTGGAGGCATCCCTGTCTGCTGCTGAGGGAACTGATATTCCACCACCTAAGATAGTGACTGATAAACACTCATTCGATACAACAGCAAGGAGCACTCTATATAACAGAACACTTCACAAAAATCTGCAGGGTCATACTACAGAGAAAGAGGCAGAGTTAGCCGAAAACTCAGCCACAACTTTCTTGGGACCTTTAGATTTCTTCACACCTATTTTATCTGACTCTGAAAGCCAGATAAACACAGTACAGTTATTAGGAGAGAAAATCACCTTGAATATCAAATGTCCAGTTATGAAGAAAAAGGAGCCGGCAATTTCACAAATACTTAAAATCAGAAGGCAGTTTACCACAAAACACTGGACTAAACCTGGATCCAATTTAAAAACAAAAATGAAACAGATGAGGCAAGATAAAAATGTGGCTAATACATTTCCAAATACCATTGACTTCACACCGGATACCCCTGACATCGAAAGGCAAAGCAGATTCAAAATAGGGATAGACAGAATATCAAGGTTCCATCTCTCACAGCCAACACATATGGAGTTGCCAACTGAAAGGCTAGTGATTTCACAAATACTTAATGCTACCAGTCATGCTGCTTTAAGTAATAATGAGCAACAGGAAAAGAAGATAGACAGAAAGAGAGAGAAAACTGTATTATATGTGGACCCCAAATCCATACATGATTCTATGCCTATTTTTTCACACATAAAAATGGAGCCGTCACCTAGTACCTGGGGTATCTATGAAGAATCTTCTGAAAAGGGAAATGCACTAAACAAAGCAAATACTAGCTCTGTTTCTGTCTGCACACCTGTGTATCCTCAAATCATAAAACATACAAGTAAGGCAAAAACAGGAGATGTGAAAGACATTATACATACCAAATGGGTAAAATTGAAGGCAAAGAAGCCACCTGTTTCCCAACTGTTTCATACTATAAGATGTAGGACCAGAAGAAACAAAAAGGAACAAACACATAACACTAAGAAACAGAAGGAGTTCCAGCAAGATAAAACTGTAACAGATTCATTTCTGAGCACTATTTGTGATTCTAGATCTGTTTCATCTCAAATTAAACAATTTACAGAAGTAGAAAGGGAGAAAGCCAGGCCAAGAAATCCCATATACAATCCTCCGCTAGAGAAATCACTAAACAAAAGAAAAATGTCATCTTCAGCGTCCAATGATATTAAGAATACTGTATCAAGAAATATGAAAACACTGAAACAATGCATTAGAGTGCAAAAAGAAAATCGCCAAGCTGTTTTACTAGACGTTCTCCAACAATGTAGAGATCAGTTAGTGATTAGTCAAGAAGTAAAGAAGGAGCTTGACCAAGTGAAAATAGGAGTAACGTTGGAAAGAGAAGTATACCCTGGTCTAGCTTCCCAGAAGAGGGAAATCGATTACCCTAGGTTCGACATCCCAAGAATTAGAACACATACAGAATGTGTATTCCTTGTTGCACAAAGAGTGAATGAAGAAGATGTAGATGCCATTGAACGTTTGGTTTCAGTTCCGCGGGGAAGAGAAATATCAGAGAAAACCAATGCTTCATTAAGTTCAAAACGACAGAATATGTTTCTTACAGAGTTGGATGCTTCTCAACGGAAGACTTGGAGGGAGCACGAATTGCCAAAACAAGGAAGTATTTCAATGACAAATCTGGAGTCTGTTGCCTACCCCATTATGAAACCTCTTCGTTTTAAAAACACAGGAAAGATAGCTGAGGAAGATATGCACACTAACAAAAAAAATATTTCACATCTATTGAGAAGAGAAGATATAAAAGAAACTGATATCTTGAAAGGCTCAAAAGGACAGAAGTTTCTTTATACCAGTCTGGCAGCCAAGCAAAATATATCTGCAGTGCAGAAAGGAGAGGTGAAGCCAGGTGACATTCCTGAAAATGTTGTGGATTCTGTATCTTGCCCACATAGGGATAACCATTTTCAGATAACACAGGCAGTAAATACAAGGAAAGAAGATGTAAGAATTTCTATAAATTTATATGTAAATCCATGGAGGAAAGAACAATCAAAGCTAACTGATAGTCCAATAAGATTAAATGAACAGAAAATGATTTTTGCTGAGAAACTGATGGCGAAGCAACTAGATAGGTCTAACCATAATAAAGAAAATATCCTGGAATCCATTTCTTCATACATATTGCATCAACCCCATCATGAAACGCTAAAGAAAAATGTGTCAGCAAAAGGAATGAATTCAAAAGTATTGAGTTCAGTGGTAGACAATGCATCAAATGAAGTGGATACTCCACTAGATCAACCTCCATGCTCAGGAGTTAACTTACATAGTAGAAGAAAAGAACTTCAAAAAGAAGGTACATGCAAGGCTCTTCCAACATCTGTTTCTTATTCCTCGACAGAAGTACTTCAGATTAAATTGCCATGTGTAAAGAAAGTATTAAAGGCCCCAATGTACGACACTTCAAATACAGAAGGAATTGGCTTGCCTGTTGAGGAAAAAGAAGAGCAACCAGAATGTATACGCCAGATTTCTCCAAAGCCTGCTTCTCACTCTTTGAGGAATATATTTCAGAGTAAGATACTATGTAAAGAGAAGGCATCAAAAGAAGTAGTTAGCACTGTGGATTGCATTCCAAGTACAGAAAAAATTGGCTCACTCATTACAAGTAAAGAGAGCAAGGTGCAGATAGGTAAAGGTAAATCATGTATGAAACTGACAAGCTTGTGTGCTCCCTTACCATCTCTATCACAAACTAATGTGAATTCAAGAATAAAAGTAGGGCAAGATAAGTCAGGAATACTAAAGAGCTGCCTTCCACCACTAAAGGTCAAGGTATCATCAAATGTCAGGGAAACACTATTTGCAGAGTCAATTAATAGAGATGGTTTAAGCAATGTAATAGAATCAAAACATTTAACACAGGAAAAAAAGGAAGGTGGAGAAAATATCATATATGTGAAAAACATAACGGGCCTCAAATGTGTCACTCTTAAAGGAAAGAAAACACCTTTGAAATACATACTGCACGGACAAGAACCACAGGGGAACAACAGAGAACAAGAGGAAATGATGCAGAAAGATAAAAGTGATCTAGACATAGTTCAGAATAAGCGCCATGCTTCCATTCCTTCTTCACCACACCTGGAATGGATTCCTGAAATAAAGGAGATCCTCATGCGAGGAATCATGGGATTTTGTCTTCCATCACTGACACTCAAGGAATTATCAGATGCAATGGGAATATGTGAGGAGCCAACTGATGATATTTTAAGCAGTATAAAAAAAGCAAGATATATGCCACAGAAAGAAAGAGTAGAAATGGCTTTGGAAGAAATAAAACAACCCAAAAGAATAGGTTTGAAAGCGAAACAGTCTCTGATTGCACAAGAATTACAGTTGAACATTAAAGAAAACGAGAAAAACATGCAGGAAGACAAAGATAATCAAGTCGGGACTTGGAACACATCTCGTATTTCTACCTTTTTTCCATCTTCCTCAGAAGTGGACATAAATATAAAAGGGGAAGAAGTGAGGCTAATAGAAACAAGGTCTTCTTTTCTACAACTAGAACTCCAGGAGTCATCAGATATAGAAAAAATAGCATACAAACAGTCTATTTATGGTGATATCTCAAACAGCAAAAATAAAGCCAAAGAACATACAATGCAGGAAGAAGAGGAGCAAGTCAAAAAGGAAAAAACCGTATTTTTTAGGGAAAAGAAATCACCAATTTCACAGGAAACCCAGCTGGACATTGAAGAGGAAGAGATAAAGATACAAAAACTTAAAGATGAGCCAAATGTCCTTGTGACCAATACCAGCACTTGCATAAGTGCTCCTTCTCATTTAAAACTGGATACAAGAATTAAAGCAGCAGACTCTCCAGCCAAAGTAACAAGATACCCTCTTCCAGAACTATCATACCAGAAATCATCAGATGCAGTGAAAAAAGCAAATAAAGAGTCCACTGATGATGATGTCACAAGTGATGTACAAGAAGCAAAAGAATATATGTCTCAGAAAGAAAAGAATGATGTACAGATATCAGCCGAGAGAGACGTGATGGATCCAAAAGATAAAGATTTAAAAAGAAAGAAAGCACTTTCACAGGACACAGCATTGAATCTTAAAGAGCAGGTGAAAGTGGATGCAGAAAGTGAAGAGCAAGGGGGAATGGATGGAGGAGGTAAAGGTGAACAGGAAGTAGTTTTGCCCACACATTGGGCTTCTGAATCTTCTCTAACTCATCGTGAATTGGGCACAAGAATAGAAGGAGAGGAAGACATCCAGGGAATAACAAGATCTGCTGTTGCACATCTATACCTACAGAACTCATTTGATGCAGGGAAAGTAGCATACACAAAGTCAACTGGTGAGGATGTCTCAAAGGATGTAAGAGTAGTACAAGAGTATGAGCCAGAGAAAGGAGAAGATAGAAGAAAAATAGTAAATATGAAATATCGAATGTATCCCAAGGGCACAGCTTCCAAGGAAAAGTTATTACCGCTTCCACCTGTGCTCCGTACCTCTGGGAGTTGTGGTCCCCAAGGTATAGTACAGACAAACATGCAAGAAACATTAGGAAACATACGGGAAAGAAGTGAACTAGATAAACTTCTGACAAGAACTTCTCTACTTCAGTTTAAATTAAACAAAGGTATAGAAGGCAAGGAAGAGAAGGAAGGAATAACAAGACCCTTTCTTCCACCCTCATGGCACAAGGAATCATCAAGTGCTGAGAAATTAAAATATACAGTCCCACCTTTGAATGGCATCTCAAGTAATTCAAAAAGAACAAAAGACATGACACAGATAGAAGAGGATAAGGCAAATCGTTTTGAGGGAGACATAATGCATCCCAAGTACATAGCTTTGAGAGCAAAGAAATCACCCCTTTTCCCTATACTCAAAACAAAGAAACTGCAAGTAAACCTCAAAGAACAAGCGAAAGTGAGGCAAGAAGATAATGAGGAAACCGTTGTGCTTCTGAGCAAAATCCATCCTTTTATCACGTCTTCAACTCATCTTAAGTGGGACACAGTAAAAGATGAGGGAGGTGAACCAGGAATAAGAAATGATGTGCCACATGTTGAGCTCCAAGAATCATTGCCTACAAGGCAAATAGCACCTGCACCCACAGATTCACCCGATAGCCATGTGAATAAAGGAGAACAACACCCACAACAGGGAGATAGGAACAGAGTACAAACAGAAGCCATGAATGGCTCAATGCAACCCAGTGACACAGATTTTAAGGCAAAGATATCACCAGCTCCTCATGTGTTCAGTATTACTGAGCACAATGTTTTGAACAACAGAAAGGAACCACAGTGGAGCATGACAGAGAAAGTAAACCAGGAGCAGCAAAGAACAGGAGACCCCGATGTGGCTCTTACAAAGACTCCTCCTTCCACACCTTCTCCATCTCACCACAGTTTGGACACAAGAACCAAAGAAGACAAAGACTCACTTGCAATTATAGGAGCCTCTCCTTCACAATCACTGTGCCCCACGTCATCAGATGCAGGAAAAACCCGACATGCAGATTCCAATGAGGGTGTTAGCTCATCCAATGTAGTAATAAAAGTTTATCAACCTATGCCATATACAAAGGTAAAGAACAGAGTAAAAATAAAAGATGGGGAAGGTAGAAGATTTCCCACAATAATCACTTTAAGAGCAGAGATATCCTCATTTCCACATCTACCCAGTAGAAAGAGACTACCTGTGAATATTAAAGAGCAAGGGAAAGAAGTGCAAGAAGGCAAAAGTGAACCAGAAATGATTCAGAAGGACGCCTGTGCCTCCTTACCTTCTCCATCTTACCTGAAATGGGACAAACAAATGAATGAAAAGGAACACATGTTAGAAAAAACGCAATTCTCTTTTCCACCATTAAAGATCCAGGATCCATCCAATTCAGGCAAAAAAGCATATACTAAATCATTTGATGGTGAGTTAAAAGAGAAGGATAGACTCAAAATAGATAGTGAAGATAAAATGGTCCCAATATGTGTGGCTCGGAAGGCAAAGGAATTACCCCTTTCACATATACTTGGTACCAAAAAATTGCGGCGGAAAATTAAAGAGCAAGAGAGAAAGGTGCAGAAAAAGAAAAATGACCTAGTTAAAAATCTTGGAAACATGCATACTTCTTTACTTACTCTCCCATATCTTAAATTTGGTACAACAGAAGAAGAGGGGTACAGGGTAAGAATTACAAGTCTGCCTCTCCCACAACTACAGTCCAAGCAATCACTAGATGCAGTGAAAACAGAGTATGCAGAAACAACTGACAGAGAACTTTCAAATGATGTAAAAGAATTAAAAGAACACACGTTACAAAAAGAAGTGAGGGATGGAGAGAAAAACGTGGATGTGAATAGTATAATGGACCCCAATGATAGGTATTTAAAAGCAAAGAAATCACCTATTTTACTTAGATACAATCTATGTGACCATCAGTGGAAAACTAAAGAACAAGAGGGAATGGCTCGGGAAGGTCAGCATGAGCCAGATGGTACAATACTGACTAAGACTTGTAGAGCTTCCCTACTTCACCTTTACAAGAATACCAGAGGTGAGAAAAAGAGAACGCCCATATTAACAAGATCCTCTCTTTCCCCAGTCAACTTCCAAGAATCATCAGATTCTGAGGACATGGAAAGTGTAGAGCCAATTGCTAGAGATATTTTAACCAGCCCACAAAAAGGAAAACATCATATACCCCCAAACAAGGAAGGGGATAGAGTAGAAACAGTAAACCTCATGTTCATCAAACATCAAGAAAAGAAGATGCAAGAGAGTAACGATGAACCAGGTGTGGTTCTTGCAAACTCTTCCTTGCCATCGTCATCTCTCCCTCACCTCCAGTTGGATAAAGAAGTACAGGTAGATGATGAAATGCTAGTGCTTACAAGGTCTGTTGTGCAGAAAGTATCAAATGCCGGAGAAATAGTACATACAGAAGCAATTGGTGGTGATGTCATGCAAGATAGTCAAAATGAGAAACAGCATGTGCCACAGGAAGAGGAGCAGGATAGGGAAAAAATAATAAATGTGAGAAGTATGATGCATACCACAGGTATAATTTTGAAGTCAAAGAAATCACCCCCTTCACATATGCTCCATAGAACAGAATTGCATCTGATCATTGGAGGGCAAGAACCAAAGAAACATGAAGGTCAAGGTAAACTACCCTGTACAGTGCTCAGAAAAATTTATGTTTCCAAACCTTCAGCTAACCTTACATTGGATAAAGGTACACAAGTAGATGAAAAAAGGCTTGGAATTAGGAGACCCTCTCTACTTCCACGCATGATTTCAGCATTATCGGGTACAGAGAAGAGAGCAGATACACGGGCAGTTTGTGATGTAAGAAAAAGGAAACAACATACGTCACAGAAAGAAAAAAAGTATGAAGTGAAAACAGTAGACATGAGGATCAGGATGCATCACAAAGAGGCCAGGATTTCGTCAATTTCACATATCTTTAACACAAAGGGATTTGTGTTGAACATTAAAGAACAAAAGGAAAATGTATGCAGAGGTAAAGATGAGCTACCTGTAGTTCTGACAAGGACTTTCCTTTCCATCCCATCAGCACCTCCCCTTTATCTAGACACAGGGAGCAAAATAGACAAAGATGTACCAGGGGCTACGGGATCCTCTCCTCTCCAGCAGAATCTCCAGGAGCCATCAGATACCCAGAAAACACCAAGCACAGAGGCAGTTGCTGGTGAGAGTGAAATCGTTGTGAAGAAAGCCAGACACTCTTGGCCGCAAGAAGAGACACTGCAGCAGTGGACCTCCAACTTCATGATCAGTGCGCAGCGAAGGAGTGAACCTCCACGAGTCAAATCTGAAGGAGACTTGAGGCTGTTAGTTTTAAATTCACGGCATGAGGACATTTATTTAACGGGATTTGGTAACATAAGTGGGAAAAGGCTGGAGTATTTCTTTACAGGGCAAGAGGCTCGACCAGAAAAATACAAAACAGAAGCTTTTACAACATTTCTCTCCTACCCCACAATGGATCCAGCTAAGATGGGAAACCTGAAGAAAGAAACAGAAATAATGGATAATATAAACCATAAAATGAGTCTTGAGCGTTTAGTTTCACCACCAAGGAAACTATCCAAGGAAATATATGTCACATTTGGTACCCCTGTACGTGCAAAAGGATTTTCTGTTTTAGAGCAAGATGCCCACCAACAAAAAACTCTATCCAAAGCACCTCCAGGATCTTCAGATTCATATACATCTGATAAGTCAGAGACAGAGGTACAAAATCATGATAAAATGAGCAAAATGCTCTCTTCCAAAGCATTAGCCCCACAGACAAAGGGGTCTCTTGGGAAAATGAATATCACAGAGTCAGATACCCCTCCAATTGTAGACGGACAAGAGATTGTTGTGCAAAAGCAAGTGGTGTTACAGTCTGACAGTGGACATAAGACCTGCCTGGACTCCAACTTTTCTCTTAAATTCCCATTTAAAAATGAAAGGCAGAAGACACCATTGGAAACAGATGTATGCAAGCAAACTACAGTGTACCGCAGAATACAAATACGCCCAGGAACACACATGGATATATCAATATTTGATACCTTGGGAGGGAAAAAAGAGCAGGCATTGCCAGAGCCAGAACAAGAGGAAAGCATTCTAGAATCATTTAAGAACTCTCTTTCCTCCCACTGGACTTTTCCAACTCAATCTGAAGATCTGGAGGGAAAAAATAAAACGGACACTAGCACTACTATAAATCTGGAGCAAAAACCATTAGAGATGGAAGAAGGGGAATTAAAAATAGACACAAACATAGTTATCTGTCTGGAAAGGGACAAAACAGAAATGCACAAATGCATCATTGCCGATCTGGAGGAGAACATAAAAAGGGACGCAAGAAATACTGCAAACCAGAACACTCCATCTCCAAAGGCAGAGGAATCTCCAGCTAACACTCCAGTGATCACTTGTCTGGGAAACAGCTGCCCAATTAAACGAAAACATAAAAAAGACCTAGAAGTCCCTGGTGCAAAACAAAACATTCAGCCACAAAAAATGTTTCAAAAACATATTCTGGATTCATTTTATGCCTACATTCCTCTTTCTCTCAAATTTGAAGGCCGGAAAGGCAGATTAACAATAGCAGATTTGAAAAGAGAATTGAGCCCCAAATATTTAGCTATGAAAATCCAAAATCACCCAGTTTCACAGATTCTTAATAACACAGGACGTGGTACTCCAAGCAATAGAAAGAAATTAGAGTATGACTTCAGCAGACCAAAGAAAACAGTTTTGTGGCGTGAAGATACCTCAGGAATATGTATCAGAAGTCTTTCTGTTTCCCCGATGAGTTCATCTCAGACTGAAGAAACAGTAGAATCTGAGACAAACCTAGAAAGAGAAAAGATGCTCTGTCTTTCTGAATTCCAACAGAAATCACCAAACACTAGTGACATTAAGAGGAACAGCGCAAGCATTGGAAAAGAAGGGTGTCTTCCATTCTACCCACTGTCAGAATCAGGAGCAAACCTCAGCAGTGAAACAAAGGGAAACATTTTAATTCCACAAACAAAAGAGGAAACCGAGCTATCTGATCCTGATAGCTCAAGGATCAGAAACGAACCTGACTTGATTATGACTGAGGAAGAAGAAAAGGCACCCAAACCCATTCTGATGCTCACAGAGTGTCCACTCATGTCTGATGATCCAAAGGACAGTGAGGAAACCCACATGGAAAGTACCCTAAGTATGACTATTTCCCCCCCAGGAGTAGAAGAAACACGACATGGGGCTGAGCTAGTTGATACCATGGAGTGTGCCTTGCGACCAGAACAGGGAGTTAAGAGTGAACCCATCCAGGACACAACCCCACAAAAGGTCCAGCAACAGAAAGCTTTTCCAGGAACTGGGCCTGAACCATCCCAAGTTAAAAGTAATGAAATAAAAGTCATGGCAGAGAGTATAACTGCCAAAAGTATACTTCCTCTTTATGAAGCAATTAAGAATATCTTTGAATCTCAGATAAAACATATGATCCAAGACACAATTTGTGAGGATATACTGGAAAAAGTAAAAGCCCATAAACCTGATGCTCAGGAGTTACCATCTTTTGCAGAAAGTCCAGATATAATATCCATAATAAAACCTCCCAAATTGCAGCCCAAACCTATTTTAGAATGTCTTCCTCTGGAAGAAAACAATAAGCTCACTAATCATTTAGAGTCAAAAGCAGTTGAAATAAAACTGAATCTGATACCAGAGGTAGCAAAAAAATCTTTCCAAAAGTTCAGCCTTTATCTAAAACAGTCTATTTCAGAACAGAACAGTTGGAGGCTACATCGAAGACCTAAAAAAGTGTGCTTTTTGCCTCTAGAAGGGATTGATACTATAGAACCTAACTTGAAACAGAAATACCCCAAGGATTCACCTCTTGTCCGCTGTATGAAGACATCGATTGTCAATGTTTCAAGTGGCGACAAAGAGATCATTACAAACCAAAAAAGTGTTAGAAAGCTAGGAAGCGGGGCATTGTCAGTGACTTGTGCTAATGAGATGCCATTGACTCCTATCCTTCAAAACTATTCAGCAGAAGAAAAAGACAAACTTCTCATACACTTTTCTATAAAAACATTAGAGATTCAAATGAAAGCCTTTCCCAGAATTGTAAGAGAATCTTACACAATGGCTGGTACTCAGAATACAAAGAAACCTTTATCTAAATTTGTTACTTCTGATGTCAAAGCACCAAAACAAAAAAACAAAGTTTTGTTACTTTTTGAGGAAAACTCTCTTCATCAAATAGATCTTGATTTGCGATACAAATACCTTCATTTTCTACTGGGGCTTTCAGTCAAAAGTATGTTCTCTAAACCAAATGCACTTCCCAAACATATTCTTAAGTTAAACACAGCTGCAGTTTGTAAAAATATAGAGAACAGGGGAGAAAGTGGAGGTGGTCTTTGCACTGACACAGAACAACAGCACATCTCTTCCAAGAAGCAAAGTCCCCATGGAAGCTCATCACTGATGAAAAAACCCCTGGAGCCGACCCATGCGTGTGCTTCTAACCCTAATCAACATGGCACAGCGCAGAAAGATAGTAGTACAGTTCTTTCCGAGTTAAGATCTCATGTGACTCCAGAAAAAAATAAACAATGTCATGTGTGGTTTCAAGAAACAGATACATATAAATCTTTTGATCCAAAGACTCGGGAAAGTACTCCCAGTTTAGTTGATTCCCATTCAGTTCAGATTTCTGAAGATTTTACGGAGAGTCAGACAGATATTCAGAGTCCAGCCAACTTGGAGGAATGCTCAGCTCTTGACGTATATGGAAGTGAAGAATGTCTGTTTATAGAAGCCAGACCATTTTTAAGTCAGGAATCCCAGAACATTCTGTTTGAATTACAGAGAGGCATTCCTTTGGAAAATTTCTACAAGATGAGAAAAAACAAAACTAATTTGAAACCATTTTACAGGGAAGATTCAGGTTCCCATCATCATATTAGAAGCTGTAGAAAACATTCCTCAAGTGTGACACCTTCTTATGAATCCCACAAAAGTGGGAAATATAGGTCATCTGACAAGATGCCATTTCCCGCCTGGTTGTGCCACGGTTCGTTAAGTGCTGTAGACATTCCATCTAAATCATCTTCCATTCCATTCAGTGAAGAGAAACCTTCATGGACCACAGGGTACAGAACCAGCTACTCCTTAGTCCCCTTAACGGAATCAAATATCAAATTACATCTTACAAAAAGCCAAGGCAAACCTTACAGGCATCTTGAAAGCAAAGAAAGAAAGAAGGCGAAATTGGATTTATTTAGAAAGAACAACATGCATTGGGACTGTGATTACAGTTATACACAGAATAAAGAGAAATGCACAAGAAAGAAAAACGTATGTAATTATGAGTTCGAAAAATCGAATCATTACCCAGGCAAACCTAAGTTACCATCAAAGCCTCATCGAGAGGACCTCTACTTCCATTTTGAAAGAAAACAAAACCAGCCATTTTTTTATGCTTGTATTCCAGCAGATTCACTGGAGATTATGCCCCAAACCATTCGCTGGACTATTCCCCCAAGAACTTTAAAGAAGACAAACTTCAGAGTTCCTCTAGTGGCAAAGATTTCAAGTTCTTGCAATATATGGACTTCATCCAAAAAGCTCTTGGGGTCTCTCTTGGAGTCCTTCAGTCTAGTTCATCCAAATTGACAATACCATATCTAGATTCACCTGAAGTGGAAAGCTGGTTGTTACTGTGGTATTCTGTGAAAAATAAAATCAGATAAAGTCAAATGGTCTTTTCATGAAGTGTTTTCTCAACCGCTATGTTTTATTTCTGTGGTAGATTTGCACAATTGTTCTGGGAGGATGGGAAGCAAAAGCAGATGACTTTGGGCTTGATCCCACCATGCAGCGGGGTCTCCTTTTAGTTTATGCTGCCTCATAACCCCACAGGGGAGGAGCGGAGACCTGGAAGCTCTCCTTCCATCCCACACCAATGACTGAGGATGAGTTGAAGGAAATGGAGCCTATAAATGAGATTGGCAGAGAATAACCAGAATGTTGGGAGGGCATCGAGGGAGAGTTTTTTAAACAGCAGTGAGGGTTCACTAATGCCAGATGTCACGAAATACAGAGGTAAGTACTGATTTTGAGAAGCTAGATTCCTATGATGACTTTGTCCTCATCATCTGATCCCCATCTGCCATCACGGGGTGGGGGTGGGGGGGTGAGAATCAAGTCATATTAGGCTCTCACTCCTGAGCACCTGCCACTTTGCAGGAACATCCTCTGGGAGGGGCAGGAAGTCATTCTGCAGCACCGCCAGGGGGAGGGACACTACCTCCCGGCGCACCTGTGCTGCCTGCCTTCTTACCACCACCACCTGCACACACGCTTCCCTGCCCTGGGCCTCACGGCCCCTGGCTCAGGGCTGCAGCAAGCTCACCTGGTGGTAGAGGTGACTGAGAACCTGGAATGTGATACCAACCACATACCTTACCTTTGCCCTTGGGGCTGATGACCCCTGCTCCAACTCTTTTTTTAAAAAATTTTAATGTTTTATTTATTTCTGAGAGAGAGAGAGAGAGAGACAGCGTGAGCAGGGGAGGGTCGGAGAGAGAGGGAGACACAGAATCAGAAGCAGGCTCCAGGCTCTGAGCCGTCACCACAGAGCCTGATGCGGGGCTCGAACCCACGAACCGCGAGATCATGACCTGAGCCGAAGTCAGATGCTGAAACCGACTGAGCCACCCAGGCGCCCCAACCCCTGCTCCAACTCTTGTAAGAGGTACAGAAAACGCGAGTCAACCCAGGGGCCAGCAGAAGAACAATACAGATCTGTGGGATTGGGCTGGGGGTGGGGCAGCAAGATTTTGAGCAACAAGTGAATATTTTAAAAATGCATTTTGTGCCGGCTTATTCCTCATATGTGAATAAAGCATTGGTCTCGTTCAGAAAATAAATTTGGGGGGCTCATAAATATTCCATAATGTTAATCATTTTATTATTAAATGACAAGACAGATGATAGCTTTTTATATCACTGTTACATTAATGCTAGGAATAACAATGCTTCCTTTATTATAAATGCTACTTGTTCTTTTAAAAACATATATTTACTATATTTGGAATATTTGGGCATGCTTCATAGCATAAGCAATTATAAAGCATTCCATTTTTTTACTAAACTACATAATTTTATACAATTTACACACAATTTTTAATGTTAGCAATAGAAATAGGGAAATTATTTCACTTGTTGATATTTAACAATAAAAAGACTTTAACTCCAAAGATATGTACTACAAGCATGTAGTAGACTTTGGCATCAATATGATAGTCTTGGCATCTTATATCAATTATATCCATGGAGTTTGACAATCAGATTGAATATATTAATACTTTTTATTATAGAGAATTTTGAACATACACCACAAGAAGACAAAATATTATGATGTACTTCTATGTACCCTTCACCCAGCCCTCAAACTTTAACCTGTAGCCAAATCTGCTTTATCTACTTCTCATCTACTTCTCCATGAGTATTTTGACACAAATCACAGACATATAATTTTATCTATGAATATTTTCTATATCTCTTTCTATATCTTCAAGATAACATTTTTTAACATAACCATCTCACATCTTAAAAACTAACATTGATGTTTTAATATCAAATAGTCAGAAGATTTCCAATTATTTTCTGATGTCATTTCCTAAGTTTGTTTGAACTGGGATATAAAGAAAGTGATGCTTTGTGGCTGGTCTTTTAAGTCTTTTTTTTTTTTTTTTAATCTTATGTATTTATTTTGAGAGAGAGAGAGAGAGTGCGCTCAAGCAGAGAGAGGGAGAGAGAGAATCCCAAGCAGGCTCTGCTCTGTCAGTGCAAATCCCAGTGCAGGGCTTGAGCCCATGAACCACAAGACCATGCCCTGGGTAAATCAGAGGTCAGATGCTTAACCAACTGAGCTACCCACCTCTTTTAAATCTTTATTAATTCATAGGCTTTTCATTCCATTGTTTTTTATTTTTCCTGACAGTTTCTCAAATTGAAGAAACCAGGTTGTTCTGTAGAGTTTTCCATGATCTGTGTTTTGCAGATAGTGTCCCCATAGGCAGATTGAAATAATTAACTGGATTCTTAATTGTTCCAAAGAAAGGCCTTCAAATAGATTACACAATGTGCAGCATTTAATTTAAAAAAAATTTTTAAACATTTATTTATTGTTGAGAGACAGAGAGAGACAGCATGAACAGGGGACGGACAGAGAGACGTAGACATAGAATTTGAAGCCGGCTCCAGGCTCTGAGCTGTCAGCACAGAGCCCAACAAGGGGCTTGAAGCCACAAACTGTGAGATCATGACCTGAGCTGAAGTTGGATGCTTAACCGACTGAGCCATCCAGGCGCTGCATGCAGCATTTTAAATTCAGTGTATTGTTTCAGAAGATTGGCTGTCACTTGTGGCAATGCAAATTTGAAACTCTTAGAGCTACAGAGCTCTCTATTATGTTAAATGTTACATAGAGTCGTTATATAGTTAGAGCTGTTAGAGCTGAAATGGTGAAATTTCCTGCCGTAAATGATAGGGACAGACTGAACGACTAGTTCTTACATCGTGAAGACATTTTGCATCATGAGACATCAAATGTCTATTTGTTCATAGAGAAATATTAGACATTTCTGAATGTAAAGGTAGATAGAAAAGGGCATATTTAGAGTAGGAGAAAAATCAGTACAGAGTTCAAATTTTGTAAAGCTGATCAAACCCAAACCGTCATGAATCCCAAAAAGTGACCTTTTTTATTAACTGCTTAATATTTTCTTCCAACATTTTTTTCGGCTACACACTGATCACTTCTTCAAAAAACAATGTAGTAGTAAGTTTTCATATAGAGATCAAAAGTAAACCAGTCTTCTAGTGGTTGGATCAAGATTTATTATTTATTACTGACTATTAAAAAAATTCAGCACTTTGCTGACTGAGTGGCCATTTTGCATACCATTTCCTCTAGAACCACAAGACTTCATTAGAGCATGACACATCAAATCAGTAAGATGAAGGCTGACAGGCTAAGATGTGTAAAGTCTGCTACTTTACATACAGGTGACCTTGCTGTTTGCGGTTCCAGTACAGGTTTGTGACACAGCAACAAACTGGTGAACTCTTTCAAAAAAGAAAGTAAACTAAATGTATCCTGTGTGCTCTGCTCTTTTGAGTATATTCTTGTCAGAAAAGAATATCCTTTTTGACTAGGTGTTGTAGAGACTGGTTTATCAGCTTATACTTTGACACACCTGATGGATGGAAGATTTTCTGCAGTTTTCTATACCTCCCTCCCTCCCATGTCCTGTTTTTCCTCTGTAATGGACATTCCTCTTGCCCTGGGCACGGTAGGAAGTTTTCACATGCTCTAGCCCTAGACCTTACCCCTGACTTCATGTCCCAACCTGGGATGTGTCCTTCACAGTGGGCAGAAGGATTCCTGGAACCTATTTCTACTCTGAGATGGTTAGCATAACTATAGACAAAAAGTCAATGTCAGAATGCCTGGTGACTCCATCAGTTAAGCGTTCGACTCCTAGTTTCTGCTCAGGTCATGATCTCACGGTTCGTGAGTTTGAGCCCTGAATCAGGCTCTGTGTTTGTGGCCTGAAGCCTGCTTGGGATTCTCTCCTTCTCTGCCCTTCTCCCCCAAATAAATAAATAAATAAACTTTAAAAAACAGTGAATGTCAATCAAAGAGAGTTAGCCCACTGAACGTAAACTATAAGCATCCTAACTCCACTTCCCTGGAGACAGATCCCAAAAAATGTTTGCAGCCTCTCTGATCTCACCAAATATGAAGTCAAATATGGCAGATGGTAAGTCGAAATAGAAAGGCAATATTTTTAACTAATAACAGTTAAAATATCTCATTTATAAATCATTTGGGGGCCCCACAGCTTAAGCTTCTTTAGCTTTTTTTTGGTACATCTGCTTATGCAAATCAGACAACATTAATTTATTAGTTTCCAAATTCTAGCATCAAACATTTATTCAATGTCTGCCATGTGCCAGGCCCTGTCCTGGGTACTGAAACCTTGACTTCGGAAGCCCCCCGTTACAGATCGAGAAGAGACCATCTCTGCAGAGCCGTGTAACTGGCTCACACACACACACACATACATAAACATGCATACGTTCCTGTATCTTTGCTGGAGAAAACAAAAGCAGTTTTGAGGTCACAGTTATTTGGCCTGAGCCATCTATCAAGAATTACTCATTTGGAGTGGATTTTGGCAAAACAATGAACACCCAAGCCAAGTCTCCTGGTGACCCATATGGCCTCGTTTCTTTTAGATGCATAAGACTCTGCGGGAGCTGAGACTCGTGTGTTTCCTTTTGGCCTTAAATACCTGAGTTATAACATGCTGATGGTGCATCGATGTGCCACTAAAACTGGGGAGAGAAATTTAGGCTCCAGCTTTAAGGGAATGAGTAATCTTGAGAAGACGCAGTGGAGGAAAGGTTTTCATAAGCACTCCTGTGCAAGATTTAGACTTAGGTCTGAGAAGTTCCTGGTCCTGCTGCATAGCCACAACCCTCCAGGGCCTTGACCCATTACTTGGAAGAACTAGAGGAAACAACAGGAATTCATCCTTAAGTCAAGGGTTCCCAAACTTTCTCAGTGCCCTCAGTGTCTCCGATTGTACCTCTAGACTGAAATAATAGTCAATCATTCTTCATTTTAAGTAGCTTAGGTCCAAACAACTTAATTATTCTTCATCTCTTAAAAACTTAGCAGTTGT